GAGCTGAGGTTGGTGGGAACAGATGAACGAAAAGGGGGAAAGTGATCTGAATCTCTTTTTTTTATTCTTTTTGTCGTTTCACTTTACTTATTAATAAATAAAAAATTGTTTTCCACATGGCAATGATGCAAAAGAAAACACGCCATATCAGCCGCGACCGTTAGTCCAGTCAGCGAGTCAAGTGAACCGTCAAAGAATTGGACGGAAATGGCTACATCGGTGTATTTTTCAAAAAGTGTCTATAATTGTCAAAACCGTGAAAGTTATAGCTATGCAGGTGAATTAAACCCAGAAAATAATGAGAAATTTTTTTTGTTTTAGTGTGCTAATGTGGCAGTGGTCCAAGTCTTAAACTCTTTTAATATTTTAAATAGACATGTATGGTGTAAATGATCCATGTATGATGATGTTGGCTCTACTGTATACTGGTTGTATTTATGAAATGAAAGGAAACTTTATTCATATGAAAAATTGTATTATATATCAATATAATCTTTCTTATAGCCCCCAAATTAAAAATTTTAATTTGATGAAAGAGTTCTCATATAGTCCCTAATTAGTACCCCACTCCGGGGTCACTTCAGCCACACGGGTTCAATCACCCTGGGCCACCTTAGGGCCACTCCGGCCACCCGGGGTCAATCACCCTGGGTCACTTTGGGGTCATTCCGGCCACCCCAGGATCAATTACCTCGGGTCACCTAACCCACCCCGGGGTCACTTCGGCCACCCGGGGTCAATCACCCTGGGTCACCTTGGGTTCACTCCATCCACCCGAGTTCCATTACCTCGTGTCACCTACCCCACCCCGGGGTCACTCCTGAGTCCTGACACCCAGGATCAATCATCCTGGGTCATCTTGGGGTTACTCCGGCCACCCGGGGTCAATCACCCTGGATCACCTCGGGGTCATTCCGGCCACCCCGGGGTAGGGATGAACAAACACACCCGCAAACCGACTCACCCGTCCAACCCGACCCAACCCAACCATATTTATCGTTAAAACTAAGGTTTTGGGTTGGTTGAGAGTTTTCTTTTGTACAACCCGCCTCTTTTGGGTTGGGTTTGGATTTTAGATTACACAACTCGTAGAATCCGACCCAACCCGTGTTTCAACTATTGGTATGAGTTTGCATCCAAAAAATATTTCTGTCGTATATAGTCATACTTATGAGAAAATTAAGATATTTCGTCATGTTTTTCTCTCATGGTCTTCCTAATCTAATGCATTAATCGGCTTAAAGTTTAGACATAGATTTAATATAGCTATGATTCACGTAATCCTTTTTCTTGTGTAAAATTGTAATAGAATAACATATTATGAATGCGTTCGTTTATAACATTTTTAGCCTATTTCAACAAATATCGTGAAATAAATAGACATATGTTGAAGTAAATCATATTTTATTAAAATTTAACCAACATTTGTGAATTTTGATACCTTTCACCTCGATTTATTCGTTTGAAAATTAATTAGTTATAAAATATTTTTATGGTGTAGAATAATTACATATTTTGTGTTGGGTTGGGTTTTTACTTAAAAATATTGCTAACCCGACCCAACACAATTAGAAAAAAACCGTAGGGTTTTAATTTTTTTAGGTGGGTTTGGGTTTAATATTTCCCAAACCGTAGTGCATGGGTCGGGTGATTAAAATGGTTAAACCCGAACCACTCGACCCATGTACACCCCTACCCTGGGGTCAATTACCTCGGGTCACCTAGCCCACCCCGGGGTCACTCCAGTCACCCGGGGTTAATCACCCTAGGTCATCTTGGGGTCAATTACCTCGGGTCACCTAGCCCACCCCGGGGTCAATCACCCTGGGTCACCTTGGGGTCATTCCGGCCACCCCGGGCCGGGTCAATCGCCCTGGGTCACCTTGGGGTCATTCCGGCCACCCCGTGGTCAATTACCTCGGGTCACCTAGCCCACCTCAGGGTCACTCTAGCCACCCGCGGTCAATCACTCTTGGTCACCTTGGGGTCATTCTGTCCACCCCGGGGTCACTTTGTCCACCCTGGGTACAATTAGCTTGGGTCACCTCGGCCACCTCGGGTCACTCCGGTCACCCCCGTGGCCAACTACCCCGGGTCACCTCGAACACATTGGGCTCTCCGCCCACCCCAGGTCACCTCGACCTTTAGCCACGTACCCCTGCAACATGTCCTCTCTCCATACCACCAAGCTACTCAGGGAGACACGTACTCCCTTCATGTTCGCATGGAAGCCTCTATATAAGGCCACTTCGTCTCTAGATTGAGGTAAGCCAAAATCCTCATGCCTAGACCTGTGAACTCGCGCTATGATTAGCGTAGATATTCATTCTCAACTCCATTTCCTCATCTTTCTTTTCGATGTCATATTCCTCTCCACCCAACGCACTCACTAACTTGAGCGTCAAAGAGTGTCCCCACCGAGATCGGCCGGTGAACCCTTTTTGCAGGAGACAACCGGAGCTGACATCACAAGTGAAGTTCGAGGTGAAAGGTGGCCGTCGACCGACTCCGAGTGCCCAACATAAAAAATTCGACGTCGGCTACAACCCCGACATCAACACTTTCACATTATGATAATTGACATACTAATGAGTCGAAGTTTAGAAAATCATATTGATAATTCAGTATTTCAAACAAAATGAAAGAGTTCTTTTTTGGGTTAATATTTTCGTATGGCCTGAACTTTGACCAAAATAAACATCCTGGCCAATCTTTTCGATCTATAACATCCTGGCCCGAACTATACACCAAAATAAACAATTTGGCCTAACCCGATGTTTGACCGTTAACTTGGACGGTCAAACGCGTTGACTAACGGTCAACGCGCCACGTCATTGCCACGTCACTGCCAAGTCAGAAGATCTGATAAATATTTAATTTTTTTCATTTTTTCATTTTTTGGTTTAACTAGGGTATTAGATGATTTTTTTTAATTTATAATAATTTAAAATTAGGAAATGTGTGGAAATTGTGAATTATTTTAAATATTTTATGCTGACTTGGCAGTGACATGGCGCGTTGACTAACGGTCAACGCGTTTGACCGTCCAAGTTAACGGTCAAAAGTCGGATCTGACCGAATTGTTTATTTTAGTGTATAGTTCGGGCCAGGATGTTATAGATCGAAAAGATTGGCCTGGATGTTTATTTTGATCAAAGTTCAGGCCATACGAAAATATTAATTTTTTTTATAACAAATAGTTTGTTTAGTGGTAAAAAGAAAGAAAAAAATAGCAAAAGAGAAAAAAAGACTCCTAATTCTACACACCCAACTGCCGCAAGAGAGGGGAAATATCTAATGAAGATATATCCAACCCTAAAAAACTATGGTAAAAAGAAAGAAAAAAATAGCAAAAGAGAAAAAAAGACTCCTAATTCTACACACCCAACTGCCGCAAGAGAGGGGAAATATCTAATGAAGATATATCCAACCCTAAAAAACTACAAGGCAAGTTTATTTTTTTTTTATATAACCCAGCAAGAGGGGAAATATCTAATGAAGATATATCCAACCCTAAAAAACTGCAAGGTAAGTTTATTTTTTTTATATAACCCAGAAACCTCAACACCACGTGTCACTTCATGGTATCGGGGTCTACTAAATCTGGGAAGTACCTGCATCAACAACAATTTCAAGGTCTAGCACTCGAGGTGCCTCTGAGAACACCAAGTGGTGTAGCGGGGTTCGAACCTGAGACCTCACATATCTCAGGCTAGAAAGACCACACTCCCGACCAACTCGGTTGTGTTACCTTCGGCGCAAGGCAAGTTAAAATTAAGAAAGTAAACACTCGAAAAAAAAGGTAACAACAACCATTCAATCTATAAAAAAATATTAACTAAAGAAGAAGTATAGAAAAATCGAAAGAATACATAGATCCGAGTTTGACGTGGATGCATGACAGTGCAAAGAATTTGAAATGGAGAAAGCTTTATTGAGAAAGTCCTTAATATATTTGATAGATAGATAATAGATTCATAAAGCCATAAGTAATGATAATGTATAGGGTGAAAAGGGAATTAAATTGGCGGATTCATAGGTTCGATTAAATGAGTTCGTGGATGTATGGACTCGTAGATTGGATTCATTAATCCAAATGACATATACACCATGGACCATTGTGAAAATTTTGAAAATTTAGATACTAAACTTCCTTACAAAAAAATAGGTACCAAAACAAAATTTTCAAAGAACATTTTTCATAAAAAAAATAAATGTAGGTATCAAATTATAAAATATATGTGTATTAAATTTTAATCCAATCCATTAACTCAATCTAGGAATAAACATATTCATTTGGATTCAATGAATTAGATTAGTCAAGTTTTTTAGTGGATGAAAATTAGATTGTTGGATTATATTCAAATTGTGACCTCTAAGTGTATGAGAATAACTTGGAGAGAGTTCGTATTTTTCACATTGATATTGAGTTTTATCGTATGATTTTACTATTCTATATAATGTAAATAAGTAAGTAAGAATATGAATGGAGTAAACTTTTTATTAATCAAATATTATAAATATTATCGCTGTCCAACCAGTTTATACCTATTTATACTAATTCTGACAACAACAAAAATGAATAGAATCGGGTAACTATTAATACCAAATGTATTCCACATAATCATAGTGAAATTATGTCCGAACTGTTGTATGTAGTTTGTAAGTGCATTTGTATTAGTGTATTCAAATACAATAATCCACAACCAATATTGACTCACAACATAGAACGCGATCGAATTGTTCACTGGCCGGTCTCGCTTTTTATGCCAACAGATCGAAAAGTCGTTCAAAATAATCATAAACTTCGGAACACAAAGCAACAAACAAGGTGCAAAATAGAAAATATTTGTATGCTAAACTTAGCTCATATTTAACTAACCAAACAAAAAAATGCCGAAATTCATGCACAAGGACACTCACACAACATATACATACATATATAACCTAATCTATACATTGTTTGTTATCGGACAGCAGTTCATATGATGAATTCAGACATGAAGAGGGGGAGAGCAGTTCTTATAGTGAAGGTAATATTCGTAGTGTGCACTGCAATCATGAATGATGTCGCCACCGCAAAAGCCGATCACGCAGATCGTATTTTGCCGTTGAAGAAAAAGATGACGGTTATCAACGGACTCGAGGGTAATTTGCAGCTAACGGTACATTGCAAGTCAAAAGACGACGATCTTGGAGTTAGGGTGTTGGGACCGGGACAAAGCTTTTACTTTAAGTTCTGGACATGCGTGTTTGCCTCGACCTTATTTCATTGCTCTTTCGAGTGGCCGGGTAGCGGCGGGATTCATCGGTTCGATATATACGATGATCGGCACGATTACCTGGATTGCGCGTATTGCGAACGGCTTGTCAAGCCATTCGGGGTTTGTAAGTATACTGGGCGAACTAAGAAATTTGACAGGTGTTTTCACTGGAAAAATGAGAGCATGTGAGAATGAGTTGTAATGTGAGTTTTCTGTCTTGATAAAGAGATAATAATATGAGTTTGTGTTCAATAAGCTGGATTTCCAAGTTTATGGAGCAAACATTAATGGAAAGGGTTTGTGAAGCAAACATAAACAAAAATGCTGAAGTGCAAAGAGACCCACCAATATTATACAACGTAGCAAATCAAAAAGAAATTCAACTACGACACAAAAAGATACAACCCATGGAAAGTCTCGTGACCATGAAGTGTAGAGAAACATAATTGAATATGTAGAATGAGTGAAGTCTCTGACGTCAGGTTAGGTGAGAAAACACCTGATTTTGGGTTATTCACGTCATATTTGTTGTATTCATCACGTCATATTTGTTTCATTCACGTCATATTTGCGTTATTCACGTAAGAGCGTTGATTATTCATGCAACCAATATTGTTAGGTCACACAACCTGATGTTCATTCACGCATATTGTTAATTATTCACGCCACTGTAAAATAAAATTTTAAACTTTGAATTATATCAAAATGGATGTCATTGTGTAGATTATGGTTAATGCAAAATATTTTTACAGTTTAATTGATAATCCAAATTTAATTCCATAAAATATAGTCAATACAAATTATTAGGGGAAAAGAAAGAATTTCCATTTACGTGGAAAACTTATACTCTTACGTAAATCACCATAGTATTACGTGAATGAGTATAAAATGACGTTGACGAACACAAAATGACGTAAATGAGCCAAATTTAGGTGTTTTATCACATAACGTGACAAGAGATATTTTCCACGTAAAAGAGTAGAATATGTAACAAATTAAAAGGGTTGAGTTATTGGTATTGCAATTCATGTTCACGATCATCTTTGTTACTTTCTCAGTATTAAAAGATTAAAGGTATGAGTTTGGAATATAATAACAAGCCAAATAACTTGTCCTTTAGGTAATCAAAGATTAATAATTATAAATGCCATAACGTACATCAAAGTTAGTTCATACAAGGCATGTGAGAGACCCACCGGTATTATATTATGCAAGCAAATCAAAAGAAATTCACCTACAGAAAGATTATAACCCATATAGAATCATGGCCATGATTCATGAAGTGTAGAGAAATGTTAGTGAATAGCTAGAATAGAACAAATAAAAGAAAGGTTTAGTTATTGATACTGCAATTATTCATCTTCTAACAAGTAACATCATGTTTTGTTTTTGTAATTAAACGATGAAAGGTATGAGTTTGAAATAGAATCATAGGTCAAATAATGTGTCATCTTTTTATGTTATTCTCTGCATTTTCAACACCAATGTAGTCAAAAGAAACTTAAAATCGTAAGTTTTAAATTATAGTTTTATAACTACATTAGTTATAAAAATTAAGATTATGCGTAGAAGCGATTTGATGACCTAGAAGTATAAAAGTGTAAATTTTAAATTTTTAAAGCGCGATTATGACTACATTCTTATCCACTATCATTATCTATTTTACAAATACATAATTATGATGGCGTCGTGTATATGACCATGTACACGACTGCCAACAAAAGTTGATTGCTTACTTGTTTTATAAATAATAATAATTCAACAAACTGAGAGTTTGGAATTGGTCGATTATTTTATTTTCTTGATGGATAACAACAAAATTAAATTATTCTTTTTATTAAAATAAATTATTTGGAATTTATGTTTATCCGCACATGGTGGATCTTCATCACATTAACCTTTTGTCTTAAGCTTCTAATCTTCTTACAAGTCCTATATATAACAGCTTATCTTGTAGAGTACAACTCATTGGTACATCACTGCGAGATAAACTGAAAAGAAACAAACATACAAAAGAGAAAGAAAAGGTATACATTATTTATTTATTTATAAAAAAGCTTCTTGGCTAACAAGTCATTGTGATCTATTGTAAAAGGTGTGGCGGTGGGTATAAATAGGAAGGTTTGGTAAAGCTTTTTTTTCTACCTCCATTCGGATGAACAAAGAAAGAAGAGGTAAAATTTTTTGCATTCTCATTGTTCATTCACAAATCATCTATGATACATTTGTTTCCCCCTAGAAATTAGGGTGTGACATTGCATCATTCTAATACCACGATAAAATTATATGTACATTTGCAAATTTTCAGTTCAAGTGAGAACAGTTCAAAGAGTATCGAGATCGTAAGAATTAAATAAAATTGAAAAAGTAAACGAATGTGCATTACATATTTGAGATCTCTCTATTTCCGTTTAACTAATCCCTTCCACCCCCCTCAATTTGTCAGATTTTTACGAAGAAAGTTGCAACAACGATTCAGCTATGGGGAACCAAGCCAGCTGCAAGAAGCCCAGCAATCTATCCACGGAGCTGAGCTCGTACGAGGCGGCTTGCGCAATCGACGAGGAGCTCCGATCTTTCGACACCAAGCTCCAGGCGCGAACCAACCACGTCATCAACACGGTGGCCGCCGATGTCGAGGTCAGAGCTCTCTCGTTGGATTCTCTGAAGGAAGTGATAGGGTGCCTGCTGGACGTGAACCAGGAAGTCGTGAAAGTGATCCTGGACTGCAAGAAGGATATATGGAAGAGCCATGAGCTCTTCAAGCTCGTGGAGGATTACTTCGACAACAGCCTCCACACTCTGGATTTCTGCGCCGCGCTCGAGAAGTCGTTGAAGCGCGCCAGGGATAACCAGCTGCTCCTCCTCGTCGCCCTCCAACAGTTCGACGAGGAGGAGTTGTCTAAATCAGAATTCGGATCGGGACCGAAGGTTTCGTACAAGAGGACGATGGAGGAGCTAAGGAATTTCAAGGAGGCAGGGAACCCGTTCACGGAGGAGTTCTATGTCCGGTTCCATATGGCGTACAAGCATCAGATCGAAATGATGGAGAAGTTGCGGAGCAAGAAGGGAAAGCTGGACAAGAAATTGAAATCGATTCACTCGTGGAGGAAGTTGTCGAGCATTATCTTCGTAGCCAGCTTCGCGACGGTGCTGATTTGCTCGGTGGTGGCGGCGGCGATAGCGGCGCCTCCGGTGGCGACGGCGGCGCTGGCGGCAGCAACGTCGGTCCCTCTGGGTTCGATGGGGAAGTGGATAGACTCGTTGTGGCGGAACTACGAGAGCACGGTGAAGGGGCAGAGAGAGCTGGTGGGGACAATGCAGTTGGGGAGCTACGTGGCAATCAAGGATCTGGAGACGATCCGAGTGACGCTGGATCGGCTGGAGGTGGAAATGGTGGCTGTGGAGAAGGCGGCGGAGTTTGTGTCGACAGAGGAGGAAGGTGGGGAGGCGGCGGTGAAGATCGGGATGGAGGAGATAAGGAAAAAGCTCGATGGGTTCATGCGGAATGTGGAGGAGTTGGAGATTCAAGTTGGCGTGTGTAGTAAGGATATTCGGCAGGCGCGGACCGTTGTGCTTCAGCTGGTCATAAAGTAACCTAATAATTGATTAATGGGTTCATTAAGCAGCTTGTGGTGGGTTCTTTTGAGCAGTATTTGAGTAGCTTTAATTTGTTTATAGTTTAAAGACTGGTTGGACATTTCTTTAATGACTTGACTAGTAAGTTTTTAGTTAATCATTGATTATTTAGGTAGATCATGCTCTCTTCATTCATTCATCACATCAATCGTCTCCTCCATCAACTCCATCCACCAGCTTGCTTTCTGAATGAGAGGAAGTGATAGTAGGCGGAAAATACAGGTCGCCATTTTTGGGGAAAGTTAGGTCACGCTTTATATACGTTGGTTGACAAGGTGTTGCTAGTAGTGGGTGATATATATAAAGAGAAAAAGCAGCCCTGGCCAACCCCACACCACCGGGAGGAGTTACGGTGCTAATTGTACAATAGTTAGCACCGTCCTAACCAAGGGAAAAACTACTACTAGTTTGAATTAGTAGAGATTTAGCTTAGATGTGGTATTGATTTTATAATAATCCGTAGTGATTTCGTTGTTTTTAGTAGCGCTTTTTGCTAGTTATCACGGTGCTAACCCCTATAAGGGTTAGCACCTAATCCCATCCCCACACCACCTCTTCCTTAAGCCGCTCTTCTCTTTTCTCCTCCTATATGTTTGGAAAACTTTCCTTGGCACGTTAGGTGTGAGAGACACCTAATGAAAAATGAATTAAATAATTGTATGAGAGATATGAGTTGGTGAGAAGAGAAATTGAATGTTGGTGAGAAGAGAAATTGAAAATAAAAGATACATTGAATTAAAAAAATGCACTTTCTCTTTACCCCAACCACCTCTTCGTATCCTCCATCCACAAAAAGCCATCTTTTGAAATCCCATTTTGCTCTTCTTCCACTACCCTTTCCAATGCTTTTCTTCCTCACCAAATAGTCGCTGGAGACGAGAATAGAGAGCGAGGGCAAGCAAACGGAGATCAGGGAGAGGCAAGCTTTCCTTTCGTTTGAGTCGGAGGTGAAGGTGCCGGAGGCGAAGGCGGAGGCGTCGGATTCGGAAGCGAAGGTGCCGGAGTCGGAGGCGTCGGGTTCGGAGGCGAAGGCGCCAGAGATCGGGGTGAAAGGGGACAAACAATGTAGGGAGAACCCGTCCGCAAGTTTGGTCCGGCAAATCAGAGCCAACATCTTCAGCCCCAATCGTAGCAAACGTTCAGCCCCAATCGCGGCAAACAGAAACCCCTGGTATTGCATGTTCCACCCAGCCCTGCTCGTGGGTAAGTTTTGCGAAACATTATGGATTTGTTTTGAAATTGTTTTAGGGTAAGATTTTAAATTATTGGTTTAGGGATTTTGTAGTCATCGATCTGTGTTGGGGGAGATTAGTTAATCAATTAGAAGCAAGCAAGAATTGAAGAGTAGGGGAAAGATTAATTACTCAATTATATATAACAATGAAGTACACGTGACATGAGCCACAACAGCTTGTGAAATTTTGTTTTACATACTGGATTTTGTTTATTTATTTGTAATTCAATAAAATTTGGTCTCTTGGCAGAATAAGGTGTTTAACAAGACAATAACATATATTTGTTGTAGGTGGGGTTTTCGGCTAGGAAGTGGAAATGTAATTTTGGGTGGGTTGGGAATGAGCCATAGTAGCTTGTGAATCATTTTGCTGTTTTATGTACTGAAATTGTATGTCTTCTCCAACTACATTGATTGGCTGTCTTTTTTCTTCCAAAGGTTATAATAGTGCCAATATGGATAGTGCTGAACCTCGTAAAAAAGGCAAAGAAAGGTAATTAACAAAATGATTTCCTTGCATGTCTTAGTGAAAGTAATTTGTCTTGTGCCTTATTGTTTCTAATCTATATGTAGGGAGGAGGAAATGTGAGGTGCAGTTCAATGAAAGTGATTGAAATTATAAGTTGTTTATCCGAGGAAAAGAGAGGATGGGTTGGAGAAATGGGCTTTGGCGAGTTGCTATACATGAAGAAATTTAGGTATGATCAAACATTATGTGAATGGTTGATGAGGAAATTCAATCCTACAACTCGAAAATTAGAGGTATGTCAAGGGGTCGAATATCGTATCGATGATGATTCAGTCGGATGGATTCTCGGTATTCCAAAGGGTGACCTTGAAGTGCCTTCGAATGATACAAAGTTAGAGTTGGTGAATGAATTTGATGACAATGGGCCTAAGTTTGCAACTTTGATAGAGAAAGTGAAAGGTGCGATAACAAAGTTAGAATTTTCAAGTACTTTTTGTTATATATTCTATGTGTGTTTTTGTGCCCAAATCAAGGAAATAGCGTTAGTTCTTCTTTATTGCATGTTGTTGGGGACTAGATACTATAACAACACTCCTTGTGTTGTTATTGTAACAACACTAGTCTCCAACCAATAGAAAGCTAGGGTTGTGATGACTTTTTATTAGATGAGTTGACCTAGTGTAAAATCAAAGCAGGGGTATAATTGTCATTATGAAAAATATGTTTAAATAATAATAAAAAAATAAAAAAAATTTTATTTTCGGACAAAAAATTTGGTCGCCGGAATTCGGCCACCGGTCGCCGGAATCTGGTCGCCGGTCACCGGAATATGCTTTTTGTCGCCGGAATATGCTATTTTGCCATCGGAATATGCCACCGTCGTCGGAATATGCTCACCGGCGTCGGAATCTAGTCATCGGGACCGGAATATGCCTATCGGCGCCGGAATCTACTCACCGACGGTCATCGGAGTTTGGTCAACGATCTTCGTTGACCGGTCAACGGTCTTCGTTGACCGGTCAACGGTCTTCGTTGACCGGTCAACGGTCTTCGTTGACCGGTCAACGGTCTTCGTTGACCGGTCAATGGCCAACGACCACCGGATGTTGTGGTCTGCATTGTGAGATTTATGGTTTGGTTTCTCATATTTTTGTATGCCTTTTGTGGTTTGATTTATCGTGTTTGTGGTTTGCATTAAGAAGTTTCTGGTTTGTTTTATCGTGTTTGTGGTTTGCATTGAGAAGTTTCTGGTTTGTTTTGCGGGGTTTCTGGTTTGTTTTAATAGATTTTTGGTCTGCATTAGGACGTTTCTGGTTTGTTTTTGTGGTTTGCTTTATCGTGTATGTGGTTTGCATTATGAGGTTTCTGGTGTGTTTTCTAAAATTCTGTGGTTTGCTTTGCGGGATTTCTGGTTTGTTTTAGTAGATTTTTGGTCTGCATTAGGACGTTTCTGGTTTGCTTTTTTGGTTTGCTTTAACGTGTTTGTGGTTTGCGTTATGAGGTTTCTGGTTTGCTTTCAAAAAATTTGTGGTTTGCTTTGCGGGGTTTCTGGTTTGTTTTAATAGATTTTTGGTCTTCATTAGGACGTTTCTGGTTTGTTTTTGTGGTTTGCTTTATCGTGTTTGTGGTTTGCATTATGAGGTTTCTGGTGTGTTTTTTAAAATTCGGTGGTTTGCTTTGCGGGGTTTCTGGTTTGTTTTAGAACATCTGCGGTCTGGTTTAGGAGGTTTCTGATATGCTTTTTGTGGTTTGTTTTATCGCATTTGTGGTTTGTATTAGGAGGTTTCTGGTGTGCTTATAAAATGTTTGTGATTTACTTTGTGGGATTTCTAGTATGTTTTATGCGATTTGTGGTATGCATTCATAAGGTTTATGGTGTGCATAATTAATATTTGTGGTTTGCTTTGTGATTCTTCTAGAATGTTTCAGGGAATATGTGGGCTTCATTAAAAGGTTTCTCGTTGGTTTTTTTATGATTTTTTATGTTAATAATATTTTATCATAAAATAACAATAAATTAAGAAAATGATTACTTTTTATTTTCACATATTATCACCTCCTTCTCTAAAATCTAGTGTTATCAAAACCGAACGGAACAATAATCCGGATTATCAAGAGATTTAAGGTTTATCGGATAACCGATAATTAACCGTATACAACCGGAGCGTACACAAATCACAAACTCAATGCGTTCCCAAGCCCCAAAAGATCAATTTTTCATTTACTTTCCCTTTTTCTTTAATAAATTCTACTTTCCCTATAATCATAGGTTTCCTCTACGTTCTGTGATTCTGTCCCAAACTTCCCCAAAATTCGAAACCCAAATCAATTTATTTCCTTCTTTTCATTCTTTTGTGACTAACAGATGACTCAGCCATGAATACAAAGATGGCACACGACTAGAGGTGGTGGCTGCAACAAGCGACGATGGAGATGTAGATGCAGCGGCGGCCTGGCGGTGCGGCGGCGGCGAAGATCGACGATGAGAGAGGCAAGGTGCCGGCGATGGGACAAGGCTGAATGGGACCGGCGGCGAGCGGCGATGATGACGTGGAGGTGGCCTGGCAGTGGTGATGACGCTGCAACTACCTTTCCGATCCGGATCTGCAACTTGCGTCAAATATCGGAAGCCGCCAGCGAGAGGAATATCGGAAGCCGCCAGCGAGAGGAGAGAGCGGATCTGAAAGCTGAAAGACAGCGGTGACAGAGGGGGCTTGACACAAAAATCCTCTGCATGCGAGGTTGAAGAAGGAGAATTGATGGAGCCGACCCACCTTACTTCTTCCCCATTGAAGATCCTGCAACGTATCCCGTCGAAAATCCGACGGTTAGTGGAACAGTTGGCTCTTGCTCCAGGCTGGACGACGACGATTGAGCTAATGACGATGATGATTCCGTATTCGTGTGTGTGGAATCGTTGTTTTTGTGATTGTTCCCTGCTTTCTGATGCTCTGTTTTGCAGGTAACCGACGAACTAAGGATTGGCGGCGGCGAATAGGAACGACAGGAGAACTAGCGACCTCGGCGGCGGAAGAAAGAAGGAACGACGGGGATTGAAGGACGCCTCAATCGTAGCTGCCGGATCGGAGTCGTAGCCGCCAGATCGGAATCGTAGCTGCGTTCGTGCCGACAGCGGAGGGGAGCGTACGGAGATCGAGAGAGGGCAAATAGGACTTGAAAACGTTTTTTTTTATTTTGTTATTAATTTCCGTTTTTACCCCTGTTGTTACTATAACAACACTCATAGTGTTGTTATAGTATCCGGACCCATGTTGTTGGTGCTACTTATAAGAAGCCACAAGAGTACAACTGGTGTGAATATGTACTTAGTTGGTTGTGTAAGTGTGCTACTTATAAGAAGCCACACAAAAGTTTCTGTACCCTCCTTGCTCACAAGAGCACAACCAAACAATATTGATTGACCATGATGATTTATACCAACAAAGGGAGCTACTGGCATGTTATACTTGTTCAACAAATATGTTGTGTCGAATGTAAAACATCGCCAAATTCCTTGTATGCTGCTCTACTTCTAGCATAAACCCATAACACATTTGTTAGCCTTCCATCATCATCAAAATCATAAGCATAAAAGAAGTCTTCATTTTCCTTTTCCATATTCTCAAATAACTTCAACATCGCGCTAGCATCCCCCTCACCTAACCGCAAATTTCTTGCATTCTGCACATGTCTCCTGCAATCACTTGCCAAACAACCCATATTCTCGTATCCACCCTCTTCTATAGCAATAGATCGTACACTTTTTGTCAACCGAATGCCTGCAGAATCATTAAGCTCAAGACGCCTCTAGACTGCAACACTTAAGCTTCTATGTTGTCGAAAAAATCGAGACTTTGAAGGTGTCATGTCATGATTATGTTGCTCAACAAATTTGGTTATCCTCCACCTACCATCTTGCATCTTCGCACAACAAACTCGAGCTCCACATTCAATTCGATGGCTGGGTTTTGGTTTGACGGGATTCTTTGACTTGTTAGATGGTTTCCTAGCCCTATGACAACAAAATCTACAATTTGCAGTCTCTCCCTTCTTATTTTTTTGGGTTGCTGCCTTTGTTGCTGCAAATCTTTTTGCTTCAGCATAATCTTGATATAACTCAAAGATTTCATCAGCTGAAGAATAGGACACACCCACCACTGGTACCCACTTTCATTCACTTCTATTACAACCATTTTGCTCGGGTGATTGAATAGTATTACCTCGATCATTGATTTCATCATCTTCAACCATGATAGTGTCTTGTTCCATACTTCCAGCTTCTTTTGCTTCAGTTGACTCTTTAACCAATTGGACTGCAAAAAAAGCTACTGGTTAGATTTTAGGGTTCCTTCAATAGTGGAAAAAAATACAACAACAAGAAGAAACAAACTTACAGATTAGAGAGGTAGTGTGAATGAAGGTATTTCTTCATCGTCAATGGCGAAATCCGACAGCCGCCAATGGAGCCCGACCATTTTCGTGAAGGGGCTACTTGCTCCTCTCAAGGAAAAAAAGAGATGAAAAAGATTACATGAACAAGGGGCTGGAATTAAGGCTTACGGGAATGTGTTTAGGTGGAGAATCACAGGATTATGATGAGAATTGAAGGAAATGTTCTGTGAAAAAAGAAAGAAAAAGCAACAATGGTGGGTATCTTCGTGGGGAAGAAGGGGAAAGGAAGCGTGAAGAGTCAGGAGAAGGCTTTTATCTTCTCCTTTCCTTTATCTGATAAAACAAATTTGCTTTTATTTCTCCTTTCTTTCAAACTTCTCGTATCTCTTTATCTCCCATGAGATATTGGATTTCACAAATGAGTTTTTGAATTTTATATTATTAAATACTTAGGTGCTTGTGGCACTTCAAGTGCCAAGAGACAGCTCTCATATGAGATCAGCAAATCAATCTTCTCTTTTCTCCTAGCACTCTGTTTTTCCCTCTGATACTCACCTTTCTCATAACGAGAGCAGGTGACATAAACCATTTAACATCAAACACCACCTCTACCTCATCTTCTCATTCCAAAAGGCTCGTTTTTTCTACCAAAAAAAAAAGGCTCGTCTTTCCCTTCGTCATTGTCCAACCTGAAGGGGACCACCAAGCTGCTATACACGCATTCCAAAAAGCCAAAGCCAAGCTAACTTGAAAAACTCTCCAAGTCACCGGAAACATCCTCTTCTTCCTCGCCAAATTTGGTTGTGGTAGCTCCGGTGTCCATGTAGTCCATGCCAATCTCCACGTCAATTCCTATTCCGTTCGAAAAAGATGGACATCACACGGACGTAATAGTGCAAGCTAGTGCCGAAACTCAAGCGGTGTTTGATATTGTCGGGGCAGCTACGACAAGGGTGATGATGAATGTCAGGACCAAAGCAACATAGAAACGATCAGTTGCCATGGCTAGCTAGTCTTTAGCAGGGGAAGGAATGAAGCAAAGAGGGTTTGCTCGATCGATCTACTGGGTGCTTCACATTGATTTCAAGATGCAGAGAGCTAGCTAGCTATGAGAGGATAGATTGTCAGAAGGGTTGGTGTGAGTTTCTTGAAGGGGTTTGCATCTCCTCTTAATGTTGTTATGGATGCATGAGAATTGAGAAATCGTGAAATGGTAGAAGTATAATTTGAGAAAGTGTACAAAGTATTGCGTGTATTGGTGGTTGATTTTGTAACTTTCACCAATCTCTTTCCCAAATCAATTCACCATTGCACTTACTCCCACAATTGCCTATGAGTTACTCGATCATATATAAGACTAGCGAACTCTCGCTCGCTAGCGCTTTGCGTGTGAGTGAGAACATGATATTTTTAAGAACAATAGTTTGAATGTTGATCCAAAAGTGAAAGATTAGTTTGTTGTGTATGATGACATCGATTAGTTTAATGGAAGGATGATTTGAAATTGTTCAGAATTTTATGTTGTTTATTTAAAGTGCAATAGATTGTTGAGATATTGGGAAGACGAAATTAACAATGTCGAAAATTCGGTAGCGGCCTGGCAAAACAATAAAGTGGGACAACTTAGGATTACGTCGACATTGTTTCGAGATGGGTTGTGAATTGATGGGCAACAATGCCAAATATTAGGCAGCGGCCGTGCCCGTGCGTAACGGTAGAGGGGGTCAACTTAGGATTCCGTCGATTGTGTTTCAAGATGAGTCGTGAATTGGTGGGCGAAGATGAGGATTGGATAGAGCAGATCTGGTATGGATCTTGAGTAGCCTCCGTGGCAAACAGTGGAGGGGGACAATTTAGGATTATGTAGACATTGTTTGGAGATGTGCTGTGAATTGGTGGGCGATAATGCCAAATATTCTGTAGCGGTCGTGCGTAACATTGAAGGGGACAACTTAATATTTTGTCGACAATGTTTCATGATAGATGAATGCGACAATTGGACATACATAACAGATATTTGGTATGAAACTTTGAGCAATGCAAAATCCATTGGATAATAAAGGCAAACCTAATGGACAAAAGATAAAGCAAAAATTCTTACATGAGAGAGTGGGGAAATAGGAGATCTACTATATTTTAGGAGTTTAGGGGAAGGATATGTTAGTGAACCATGCAAGCAATCTGTAAAGAGTAATGTCCAATGACCAATCATACACCTTATTGGCAAACAAATAAAACACTTTTTTTTTCTACAAAAAAAAACACTTTTTTTCACCCAAAAAAAAAAGAAGAAAGAGATTAAACACTTTTAACGAAAACTTTGACAAAATCAGACTGTATATGACCATTTGTTACGAAATGAAGCACTTAAGTTGACTTCGTTACGTTTTAAAATTGACTAGCCATTTTGTTGAGTCAGAATAATCCAGGGGCCATTTGGGGCTGTTAAACCTTTCCTTCCTCCCCTGCCGCCGCCTAAAGTCCGTTTCCTGTAAACATCGTCGTCGTCATCATAATCTCCCTCCATATTTAACCGCAGAAAACAAACACACACACACACTTTTTCCCCTTTTTTTTTATCCCAAACTTTTCCAAATCAGAGAAAACATACCGTGCTACTTGAAAGTTGAAAATTCCAAATTGCAAACCAGAGGACCCTCTCGCATTTACTGCTCTGCTCAGATCTGCCCCCAGCAGGCTTCTCTCTCTCCATTGATTGAAGCTATATCTGCACGAAGATGTCGACCGACAGTGACGACGAGGACGAGCTCCTTCAGATGGCGCTGAAGGAGCAGGCCCACCGGGAAGTCAATTACCAGCGCCCGTCGTCGTCCAGTCAACGGAAGCCGGTCTCCAATTTCGTCCAGCCTCCCAAAACCGCCGGTTCCGCGAGGCCGCCGCCCCCGACTCATCGTCACCAGAAGAGCAGAGGCTCCGCCTTGGACGATGACGATGACTCCGAAGTCGAAATGCTCAGCATATCGAGCGGAGACGAGGAAGTGAGCAAGGATCGGCAGCCGGCCAAAGGGAGGGCCGGCGCCGGCGGGGCGGGAAGGGGAGGGAAAGAAGACGATGGGTGGGACGGCGGGGAGCCTGATTGCTGGAAACGAGTGGATGAGGGCGAGGTAATTCGTTTCTCTAGCTCGTTTTTCCTGGATATGCCTATTTGCTTCTTTTCTGTTCGCGGACTGCTAGCTTTCCACAAGTAGTGGAGCGTTTTGTGTATGAATTGTAGGTGTGAATTCGAACTTAGTCTGCGTGTTCATGTATCATTTGGCGTCATTCTTCTATAGGAAGATTGATTGGTTAGCTAGGGAAGAGGGAGAAGGGACTTTACTTAGTGGTGGAATTGGGGGTTCTCTGAGGAGTCGCGGATTAGTGTTTCTGTGATGGTGGGCTGGAAACTGCTGTGTCTGGTTCCAGAGATGTTCGTGCATTCTATTGTTGTTGGAACCTTTTAGCTTGGGTGCTGGGAGTTACAGTGTTCCTTGCATTTCTTAACGCATTGATGTGGATCAAATGCTCATTTGACTAACTAAGCAGTAGTTGATGTCTGTTCATCATATGAACTGGTTATCAACTACCTCATGTCAAGATTGCCGAGACTTTAGGAAATGAATTCCTTTACAAATATTATTACAAGATGGATTGGATCGAATAAAGACAAGACCAGACCAAAATCGAAGGAAAATTGAGGACCAGAACCGGATCAAAAGCATATTTGGTTCATTTGGTTTGACTCGGTTCGGTCCAAATTCAATCTCAGCCCACTTTTCCTTCATACTTAAGTTAATTTCTATGATCGAGACCGAATCTGATAATATTTGATTCGGTTCAAATATTAATTTGGTACAATTCGGTCTAGTGTAGACCAGATCATTGTCCGTCCCTACTGCCAACCAAATGTACTTTGTTGAAACACTTACGACAATGTAGTTTCGTTAAATATATTTTCCCATTGAGTAAGACTCTTGCTGTATTCATTTCGTATGTCTACTAATCGCGGACAGCCTATTGACCTGTCTAAGTGCCATCATACGCTATAGCGAGTGATTTACTTATTAGTAACCTGGTGAAGAATGAGAAACAATCAATTAGGTGCTTCTCCAGGGATATGTTTTCAGTTTTATTATTTGGTCTATCCCTGCCTTTTTTTGGTTGCTGATGTCCTTGGGTAGGATTTACGACTTGTGTGTATATACCAAAAACATATACTGAAACAATCAATTAGGTGCTTCTCCAGGGATATGTTTTCAGTTTTATTATTTGGTCTATCCCTGCCTTTTTTTGGTTGCTGATGTCCTTGGGTAGGATTTACGACTTGTGTGTATATACCAAAAACATATACTTACTTCTAAGTGCTCCCAGCTTGCGCGAAGGGTTCGTGACATGCGAGAGTCAAGAATAGCACCAGTGGCTGAAAAGTTCGATCCTAAGCCCACTGCAGCAGTGACTAGAAAGGGGCTTAATACTCTATTGTCATTGCCTCGTGGGATGGAGTGTATAGACCCATTGGGATTGGGGTAAGCTTTTATTTCTCTTTGCTGCTAATCATGATCTTTTGACAAACAGCGCTCTTTTTGATTGAATGATTTTCTAATCTCACTTATAATTTGTGTTTTCAATTGGATGCTTCTGGTAGTTTGACACTTTGAAAATTTTAAATATGTGACAGGTTTAAAGCTTGTACTTATGTGAACTACAGGTCTTTCATTTTTAGTTGCTGTGCTTTTGCTAAACTTTGATATGATGACAGGATTATAGACAACAGAACATTAAGGTTGGTCACCGAGAACTCAGCTAGCTCACCATCAAAAGCCAACAGAGATGTAGATAGTAATCTTCGAGGTACCTCTCTCTCTTCCTCATCCATCTATTCCATTCTGTCCTCTCGAATCTGCATGTCACTAAACACCCCTCACATGCTTTCTCTTTTAATTCTTCTTATAAATTATCCAGATGCTGCATTAGCTTCCATTTTTGTCTGCCTTGGCCAACTTTCTGTATTATATGTGGATAAGGAAGAGAGTGGTTATTCCGGAGGAAATTTCAATGAAGGCTGTCATACTTCTTTGCAGACGTTAGCCTCTTTTTGGAAGTCGTACAGTTTTCCTAACTTATTTTCAGTTTGTTGCACATCGAGTATTCAAGATTTCTGCTATTTGGTGATTGTTTTCACTGTTCATGTTGGCTATTTAAGTGATGGGGAATCTATGTCCCATAATAGTGTTTGAGCATTCATGAGTATTGGGGTAGTTCTCGACAAACGACCTGATCTCTCTAACTAACAAAAACAAAAACAAAAAAAATCAAATGATAAACCCAACCTGATCATTAATATAAGCATAATGAATTTTTATTACAAACACCGAAAGGTAACGATTTAATTGTATTGAATTTTTAGCAATTTATACTATAATAGTGTTGAGCATTCGTGAGTATTGGGGTAGTTATCGACATAGTACTCGATCTCTTTAAAAAAAAAAAAAGTCAAATGATAAACCCGGCCAACAGGCCGGGAACAAAGCTAGTTTACATTGAAGGTCTTGTATCCACTGTCTGCTGTGTGAACTTTTTTATCATATCTAGATTTTGTGAAATTTTTTTAAAGAAAAGAAGATTTTTGGGAGGACTGGAATAGACATCCTTATCAATTGTTATAATTAGTATCCTAAATGATAATTTCGAATACGTTGGTTGAACTGTAATTTTCATTTTTTTTTTTTGGAAAAGTGCAATTGTAATTTTAAGACGTGGCTTCTGTAGAAATTTCACCTAGTTTCAAGATTGGGTTGGGAAGTTATTGAGCTTATCTAGAATCATGTTTTTGAGCTTATGTAGAATTTGGGTTTAGAGATAAGGAAGATCTAAGACCAATGACTGTGTGCGCTATTTTTATTGCATATGCTCGCATTCTATGAAAATTGGGTTGTAAAAATGCTATTCAGTCTAGTGACTTCTTACTCTTTGGTATTCTTATTTTCCATAGCCACTGTTCTTTTTTACCATGATTTTTGTATAGTACCTCAATGATATTTTCCACACACCCAGCATCATATATCATTGCATTTCAATTATCTTAAATATAAATACAAACCTTCTAACCTCTTCATCTTCAATTATGGTGTTTATTTGTACTAATTCTATCCTTCTGTACATTTTGACAGAGAAATTGTTATATTTGTCTGACAAGTTTGATGCCAAGCTGTTCCTATCACGAATACATCAAGGCACCAGTGCAGCAGATTTGGAGGCTGGTGCCCTTGCTTTGAAAACTGATCTAAAAGGGCGTACCCAGCAGAGGAAACAACTGGTGAAAGACAATTTTGATTGTTTTGTCTCTTGCAAAACTACAATAGACGGTAAGTAGACTTGTTTCAGTGTTGTTATTATTAATTTGGGTTAATATTTTCGTATGGCCTGAACTTTGACCAAAGTAAACATCCTGGCCAATCTTTTCGATCTATAACATTCTGGCCCGAACTATACACCAAAGTAAACAATTTGGCCAAATCAGACTTTTGACCGTTAACTTCGACGGTCAAACGCGTTGACCGTTAGTCAACGCGCCATGTCACCGCCAACTCAGCAATAAAAAAAAAAATTAATTTCCACCTAGGTCTTTTCTCAATTTGAAGACGAAAAAAAAAAAAACCAAAACGATGCGAATTGCCCCTAATTGCCTTAAAGCAAATCCAGTCCTGTCTTCAATTCTCAGTCCGCCCTAACGCTCCACTCCCCGCCGCGCTCTCTTTCTCTCTCTCAATCTCTCTTCTCGTCGGCGCAGTCGTCTCCGCCCCCGTACCAATCTCTCTCTATCTCTCTCCAGCTATGTTTTGATTTTTTATTTTTCCGTCTTCAAATTGAGAAAAGACCTAGGTGGAAATTAAATGGGCTAGGTGGAAATTAAATTTTTTTTTATTGCTGAGTTGGCAGTGAGATGGCGCGTTGACTAACGGTCAACGCGTTTGACCGTCGAAGTTAACGGTCAAAAGTCTGATTTGGCCAAATTGTTTACTTTGGTGTATAGTTCGGGCCAGAATGTTATAGATCGAAAAGATTGGCCAGGATGTTTACTTTGGTCAAAGTTCAGGCCATACGAAAATATTAACCCTATTAATTTTTATGTAAAGTGGGCTGTGCATTTCATTTGAAACTAAGTTTCTTCTGCTCACAAAATCTTTTCTTTTATTGTTTTATATGCTACTCAGTTCTCCTATATACTACTGCAGCATGCTGATGTGTGCATCAATGGGTAATTTTATAGATATTGAATCAAAACTAAGACGGATAGAAGAAGACCCCGAAGGTTCTGGGACTTCTCATCTGCACAATTGCATGCAAGGAGTCAATTCACTGGCAGTTCGTGCATTTGAACCTTTATTTGAAAGACAGGTCCTTAGATTTATTATCTTTCTTTTCTCTTTTAATCTGATTTTATATTCTTAGTTTCACCTCAACCATGCTTCATGGACCAGTCAACTTGGTTTTTATTTTTATTATGAAGGCCCAAGCAGAGAAGATCAGGTCTGTCCAAGGAATGCTCCAGAGATTCAGAACACTATTTAACCTGCCTAGCACAATTCGTAACAGCCTTAGCAAGGGTGAATATGATTTGGCAGTTAGAGAGTATAAGAAGGCGAAATCGGTTGCCCTCCCCTCCCACGTGTGTAAATATTTTCTTTCTTCATATTTTTTATTGTGTCAGAAAATATATCTTAATTATGGGCCTTGCTTATTCTATTTTGTGTGTGTGTGTTTGTGGGTGGGCAATTTCTGTGATTTCCGAGGTCTTATGCTCATCATCTAAAGATTTTTTTTTATTAGTATATGATGGTCCATTTGTTGATAAATCCCAGTATATCCAATGGCATAAGATAAATTTTCATGCACTTCGAAATTCACATCAATGCCGTGATCTTTTTACACTAAACTGTGATCTTTCTGTGTTGATACCATAACCAGAATCTCTGCCATGCATGTCCATGTAGCCACCTCCAGTTACTTGCTTCCAATATAATTCTTATCTCTTAGCATTTACTAGTTATGGTTCTTGTGTTGTGGTGTGGTGCCTTTCATTCACTAGTTTACTGGCTGGGATTTTTGTTGTGATCTTGGAGTGGTACAATAACTGGCAATTGAATGACTTCCTTTGTCTTAGAGATCTTTTTTGAGCTTCACTAGTTTTGCGTTAGACAGAATGAAGCTAGTGATGGGCGAGCCAAACGCTAGCATAAAATTAAAGCTTTAAATCCTGATATTTCCTTGTGGCAATCTGTTCTACATGCAGAATTTTTAGACACTCATCCTGTAACTTGAATTTCAGGTGAATATATTGAAACGTGTCCTCGAAGAGGTTGAAAAAGTGATGCACGAGTTCAAGGGAACACTTTACAAGTCCATGGAGGATCCACAAATAGAGTTGACAAATGTAAGACTATGGTTTTGATTTTCTATTATTTGTGGCAAGTCAGGGGAACTTGACGTAGAAGAATGGAGAAACCCATAAAAGTTAATACCGGATCTAACAATACTGTACCTGACACTAGCTATATCTGCTAGCATTAATTAAAGTGTTATTCTTTTGTCTGGTTTACACATGCAATTAGATAAAAGTGAGGGAAAACTAGTCTGCACTTTGCTTGCAAAATCTTGATTGAGTTTAACATGTTCTTTTCTCTCTTTGGCTATTTGAATCATACGAATTGCATGATAAATGATACGATTTTGGGCAATGGATTAGAAACATAATTTGACTTCTAAAGATGGTAACAAATAGCAAGAAAATTTATTGGGAACTACTCCTTATAAATCTATTTTCTCCATCCATTTTAGCTCGAGAACACAGTGAGGCTGCTGGTGGAGCTAGAACCCGAGTCTGATCCCGTGTGGCATTACTTAAGTGTACAGGTAAGTAAGCCAGAACAGTTCTTCATGGTTTCAGATTGCTAAGGTTGCATCCAATATTTTACCCATGTGGACTTCTATGCATGACATTAGGGTTCTAAGTTTCCGTTCAGTTACTTCTGAAGCCAACTTCTTGCTTTATTTGAATAAGTAGGTCAGTTGAAACTACGTGAGACATTAACTGCTGTTGCAGGTGTGGAATAGTAACAACTTCCCCTAACAACATTCTCTGGCCTGTATCTAAATGTATCTTCATCTGCGTGTGAGCAATCCAATAAAAGTTTGTCCATTTGGCAGAATAACAGAATCCGTGGTTTGCTTGAGAAATGCTCGTTGGATCACGAATCAAGGATGGAAACATTGTATAATGAGATGAAACAAAGAGCTCTGTTGGATGCGAAGTGGAAGCAAATTCAAAATGAAACTGTCAGTGCAACCTTTATGAAAATTTATACCTCTTGATGGAAGTTGATCTGGAAAACAAGTTGACTTTTTCCTTGTGGTTGTCAGTCAGATGTGGATCCAGTAGATCTGCAGTCGCTGGTTTTGATTGGTGAAGAAGTTGATTCTCTGAGGGGAAAGTATATCCGCAGGTTAACGGCTGTAATTATCCATCACATACCAGCCTTCTGGAAAGTAGCAATTTCTGTTTTCAGTGGGAAATTTGCGAAGGTATTCTCACCATAAACATGTATCATTAACATGTAATTCTTAGCCGCTTTGCAGTTAAAGAACAACACAGAATTTATAGATTAGTAGAACTTGAACATTTACCGCTGCATGCTAACTTTTTTCATTGTGTACTCTATTTAATTACTCTTCGCTGATATTTTAACATGGGCATAATAAGTTCTTTGTCATCCTGAGTTAATGCCAATTTATGGAATTAGCTGAAATATTTTGGTTTGAAATGTCGGCTAAATAAAGTTATCCATTTTTTATGGAATTGAAAGCCATATGCTTCTTCTTTAGTAGAATTTCTGTTAAGTATCAGTGTGGGTTGTAAGCAATTTTTGTGACTTAGTCCTTTTGTTTCAGTCTTCCCAAGTGTCTGCTGAGTCAAATCTTAGTGCCTCAAATAAGGCTGAAGAAAAAGTCGTAGATGTAAGGTGCTCGACTCATTCTCTTGATGAGGTTGCTGGGATGATACGCAGCACTATATCTGCATATGAAGCGAAGGTAATCTGCTCTTTCTTTTTACTTTCAGTATCGCAATTCATATGCTTGTGGTTGCCGGCATTTATTAGAGGCTTTGTTTCATCTTCACCCAAAATAAATAAGGATAGGTAGGATTATAGTTGGTTGAGTAACCGAGATAGTCTATAATTGCTAGTTGCTGGTGCAGGATTTATTTCATGATTGAGATTTTCTAATTTTTGGTAGAACTTGATTAATTTTTCTTGACTTCATCATGTATTATTAGTATGTAGAGGTGGCAATTGGATCGGATTCGTGGATTGGATTGGTGGATCCATGGATCAAATGGATTGGATCCAATGGATTGGTGGATTCATGGATTGGATCAAATGGATTGGTGGATTGATCCATGAATCCAAATGACATCCAAGGCTTGGACCAAAATGTAAATTTCGAAAAGTTTAGGTACTAAAATGTCATAATGAAAAATTTTAGGTACCAAAATGTAATTTTCCAATGATTTTTTTCGTATAAAAATATAAATTTTAGGTACCAAAATGTAAAATATAAAAAATATAGGTACCAAATCGTAATTTGCCATTTGGATCCATGGATTGATCCATGAATCCACCAATCCAATTGGATTTGGATCAAATGGATTGGATTTAAATGGATTGGATTAAGTGGATAATTTGGTGGATGGATTGGATTGGATTCATGGATTTGGATCCTAATTGCCACCTCTATTAGTATGTCTTATTGGCTGATTCTGTCCTGGGGTGCACTCTTTCTGGGTCCCAACAGAGCCAAAGTCGTCAGTTCAGTTTTGGCTCAGCAAATTCATGCTAAACATAATGCAGATCGGAATGAAGATCAGATTTCTGCACCATTGGGCATAAATTGCTGTATGCTGCTGCAGACTGTCATTTTTCTATTCAAATTAAGGAAACAAATAAAGTTAACTAACTTTTCGGCTCATAGCAGAGAAATGACTTCAATACCTGTGGGACTTGTCCAACTGTATAGCTATTGAGTTTCAATTTAAAACTGTAGGATTTTTACGGCACATAGCAAATAATTTCCTCTATACCTGTGGGACTTCTAGAACTGCATGGCCATTGAATGTGTTGTAAATGCCTAGTTATAGAACTATAGGAGTCATAATAATGTTTACTCATGAACAGATTATGTACAGCATCTTGGTAATTTTAGTTTTTCGTGTTTGCAAGTGATAACATCTTTGAAGTCGCAGCATTTTTGGCTTCTATTTTTCGTCCTGCAGTTAGACAAAATATCATCTCTAAACAAGTTTACTTCTGAAACAGGTTCATGGCACATTTGCTGACCTTGAGGAATCATATATTCTCCGTTCTTACATGAGCGATGCCATAAAAGAAATATCTAAAGCCTGCAAAGCTTTTGAAGTGAAAGAATCTGCTCCACCTACTGCTGGTCTGTATTGCATGCTAAAACAAAATTATCCTTAGTCTGCACTTTTAACGGTTTTGCCATTCTGTTGCAGCATTAGCTCTCAAATCTCTTCAGGCTGAGATTACAAAGATATACATACTCCGGCTTTGCACCTGGATGCGGGCAACTACTGCAGAGATGCCAAGAGATGAAACGTGGACTACTGTATCAGTCCTTGAAAGGGATAAATCGCCTTACAGAATCTCTTTCCTTCCTCTTGCATTCCGCTCGGTTGTAGCATCAGCAATGGATCAGATCAATTTGTAAGTTACTTGATACGCAGGGTACCAGATTAGGACACTGGGTTAATTTCAACAACTGAATGAATATCATGATTAGTCCATAGCTTGTTTCACTGGTATCCGTTTCTATCATCTGTATCAAGGTTATGCTATGTCCTTTGTGGGTGTTACAACCTGTGAGAACCGATTGCCAGTGGAGGGTGTAACGGGGTCTTCCTGACTGTTATACTTATCTCTTATATCTCAAATCTCTACCTTTGCAGGTTAGTTCAATCCTTAAAGGGTGAGGTCGGGAAGTCAGAAGATTTATATGCACAAGTCCAGGAGATTCAATTATCCATTAGACTTGCCTTCTTCAACTGCTTTCTGGACTTTGCAGGTGCAGTATATGATCTATTGTCTGTTACAGATTTGAGGTATCTTATAGCTTCTTGCCTGATAACTAGTATTCTGTTCATGTGTCCTTTTTAGGTCATCTGGAACATATTGGAACCGAGCTAGTAGAAAATAAATCAAACTTACAGAATGGATATTCTCATGAGGTGGAAGAGAAATTATCATTCAATTCCACAGGAGCTGTTAGTTCCCATCAAAAGTTGCTGATTGTGTTAAGTAATATTGGATACTGCAAAGACGAACTCTCACACGAGCTTTTCACGAAGTACAAGTGTGTATGGCTGCAATCTAGGTATACTAGACTCAAGTACTTCATTATCGCTTTTGGGGGTGAGGCGTAAAGTCCTGCCTAGGTGGGATACCATCATATTTGCATTGTTAGTGTTCGAAAACTGCATACTGGATGATTTTCTCTTCTCTGCTATCATACTAACTAATTCATTATAGTCCATCCATCTCCTCCCAAAAATCAAATTTGGTGACTAGCTGAACTAGCTCAGTGATGCATGAGGATCACATAATTTGCTGCCAACTGCCCAACAGTGTGGCTGCTGTGCTGTTGGTTCTACTTCTACTTCATTATGGCTAATCTTATTGATTATCATTTTGGTTCAATCGTCTATTAAGGTTTGAGCATCACTCACGGCTTTTTCGTTCGTTCTTCAAGCATCATTGCATTGGTCTACCTGCATTATTTCACGTCGTCCTTTTTTATACAAGTAGTATGCTTGCACTCTGTGTGCGTATGATGACCGTCTATAATCTTATGTTCTACCGCAGAGAAAGTGATGAAGGTGACATTGACATACATGATTTAGTGACGTCTTTCTCTGCGCTTGAAGAGAAGGTCCTTGAACAATATACTTTTGCAAAGGTATACTACATGATATTATTTACATTTTGGGTCAACCATATTGCACAATGCACACACATGGAGCTTGAAGGCTTGTTGGGAAAGTCATGCAGTCTCTGTGTTGGTGGGGAACAGAAGATGGTCGAGTGGATGGCATGTCCGGAACAGCACTGGAAATGATATAAACTGAGAACATCTTGCATTATGTGTCAAAACTTCATTATGAAAACTGTTCACATTGGCTTATCACTTAGATCGAGACATAATAGTACTCCTAGGTTTTTTATTATGTTTAAGAGCTGCAGTCATCACTGCTGATTGTTGAAAACTTCCAAAGGTCAAGCTTAAAATTTAAATGAAGATGAAAACAAGTTATCTACGATTTCCCTCTATCTGACATCAAATGGGAAGCTTGGCTCTAACTTTTCTATTTTGGTGTCTTAACTTCTTATTTTTATTACAGGCAAATTTGATAAGGACATCAGCTATGAACTATTTGCTGAACTCTGGGATCCAATGGGGAGCAGCTCCTGCTGTCAAAGTGAGCACTTGATGGCATTCTTGTCCGTTGTTTTCTGTAAGTTGTTGCTATGAACTCCTTAGTGTACTATCGGTAATATATGACTGCCACAATCCTGCAGGGCGTTCGTGATGGAGCTGTGGAATTGTTGCACACTCTGGTCTCGGTGCATGCTGAGGTTAGTTTTCCTCCGACAGATAACAGATAGACACAATCACTTATAGATGAAAAATAATCTTGGCGCTCTTGTTCATTTCAGAGCAGTGAGTAAGATGGCTTAGGTTAATGAATTTATACGACTGATTGGCCTTGTGGGTTTCTGGTCATAATGTGCAAAGAGACCTGACATTTGTTAATTTGGAGCATTTGCAGGTGTTTGCTGGTGCAAAGCCGCTCTTGGACAGGACACTTGGCATTCTCGTGGAGGGGCTGATTGATACTTTTCTTAGCCTTTTTCACGAAAATGAAGATGGAGAATTTCGGTCGCTAGATGCAAATGGATTTTGTCAGCTGATGATTGAGGTTAGTTCTCTTAATTTTCAGCAAGCCCAGTGTAGTTATTATAGTTAGTACTTAGTAGTGGCTTGTTCTGAAAATCCGCAGGGTGTTTATTTCTTAGTCCTGCAATATATGGCAATTGGTTTTTTTATGTTTTTTTTTTAAATGTGAATGGTATACGTTTTCCGTGCGTGTGGTTGATCGGTTTCAGTTTTCCAGTTCACTGAACCTACAACTGCAAGGTATGTAAATGCTATACGGGATCCTGATCGATTTTCCTTGCATGTTTTGCAGCTCGAATATTTTGAGACTATCTTAAACCCATATTTCACACCTGCTGCAAGAGAGTCGCTGAAGTCCTTGCAAGGCATGCTGTTGGAGAAAGCCACCGAGAATGTCTCTGACGTTGCCGAGAATCCAGGCCACCAACGTCGGCCAACTCGTGGGAGTGAGGAAGCAGCTTCTGACGACAGGCAGCAAGGCGGACTGACTGTATCTCCAGATGACCTGATTGTAAGAAAGAAAGAACACACTCATTCTCTGTTTCTGCATGATGGCCTTTTGCCTGCTGTCCCCCATCTCTTTCAGAGAGTACTATTGGCATTCTCACTGTTGTTGTGTAATGTTGTTGGCTTCAGGCTCTTGCACAGCAATGCAGCGCGGAGTTGCTGCAAGACGAGCTGGAGAGAACTCGCATGAACACAGCGTGCTTCATCGAGGCAGTTCCCTTGGACACGATGCCAGGTTCCGCCAAAGAGGCATATGACTTGAGAGGTTCAGTGGACTCTCCGAACCGATACTTCAGAGAGGCACCGCAGCCGTTAGTTTCAGCTCTTCCTGGATACTCCTCCAGAGGCAAACGCCGATGATGATCCTCAAAACTCGTCGCTACTTGTGTGAAGTTTAATTTCTTGGGTTTGTGTGTATTCTGTAGCTTGTTGTATGTAAGCTCTGTAGATCCAGTAGAGCCAAGAAGAACGGAATATTGATTTGGTCCTTTGGAGCCTTTTTATTCTATTTTTTTTTTAATTTTTCTAGAAAAAGCTCTTTTTCCCTTTAAATACGAGTGAGTGTAGAGAAAGAGGACGCAGCTGAATATTGGTTATTCGATTGTATGATGTTCTCGGCTTGGTTTACAGCATAAGATGGAAGCTTCATCCTTTGCCTTTGTACATTGGGTATGTAATATATTGTTAAGTGAATTAATGGAGTATTGTGACTCTACATTGATGCTTGAAATCATTTTTCTACCTATTGCCATTTCTAGTCAAGTTTCATCTTTATACTCTCAGCAAAATCAAATTACTAATTCCGAAACAAGACGAAGTTCTGGAAGAAACAACATAATGCTAGAACATGGGCAGCCACTTCCACCAAATTATAAAACCTCGGTGCTTAAGAGTAATTACACGGTGATCAGAACATGATCATCGCAGTTCCATAATATGCTGCCTGACAATCATCAGTTGATCACCATTAGCTTGAGCAAGTACACAAGAAAATATTACAGTAAATGAGAGCGCATTCCTAAAAGTTGAAGTCACCAACTGCACTTCGCAATTTCATCTCTTGCAGATCATCAGGTTGTCCTCAATGGTGGAGAAACCAATATGACACCATCTCCCCTGACAAACAGAAAAGGTACTGTGCGCTTTGTGTGCTGTAATAAGAGTGGAAAAGGATAAGTCAGTACCTAGAAATGCCAAGACAAGTACGAATGCTATGCTTGACTGTAAATCGGTAGCTTCCTACATTGAATACTGGTTATCATTCATTCGACTGATTCATCACAGTTTTCCAGTATGTTGCAGCCAATGAATTGGGAGATAGTGTTGAAACATGTTTATTCTGTCCCTGGATTTGCTACATAAGAGCTATTCTAGACCTTGAAAGCTTTTTTGCACTTCTGACATTAACTGATGGTTCATGCCAATGCTTTGTGTTCACGTGCAGATATCAAACTAAAATTTGCTAATCACCAGAGTATTTAAAAGAAAGCAGATAAGCCAAATTACCCTGACAATCTCTTCGTAAGTCTCATCATCGATCTCTACTGTGGTGACAGTTTCTTCCACATCCCCAAGAATCATATTCAAATGCTGGTCATATGCCTGCAAAGCCAGGCAGTAGTGATTAAGTTAATGTCGACCAATTCAGTAATCACAGTCCCCAAAGTAATGAACTGCCAAGATCAAGTGAGGGGAATGTATCAAGGAGAATCACTAGATTGGGTCATCATGAAGTAAGTACCAATTGCCAAACAAGCCATGACGAATCCTCAAACATTTGCAGTAGGGAAAAACAATTCTTTGTCTGATTTGTCGCATCATTCGACTGTTTCCTCTAGGAAGCTCCTATGAACTAACTACAAGACCTCTAAAAAAACAACAAGTTTGGATCTTGTACAGGTTTTCGCATTAAGATGAGTACCCTGTACATATAGGATAAAGGAGAAACATGAACAGTACTCCTACAGCCAAAAGCATCACCCTCTCAAACAATCGAATCCTCCCCATTGTATCTTAAACCCTAGAACAGCATCCAGTAAACTCCTAGCCTTTGAGCATTCACATCTGGCGATAGAAATGGACAACTTCAGAAACAATTTCCACACACGAATTATCTCACACCTCTCCCCTCTAGTCTCCAGAATCTTAGCCCATACACAAAAAGAAGAAACCCTCTCGCAAACCGAAATTGCAGGCGCCGTTCACCAACCCTATCTCGCGTATAGCTAGAACCCTAATTAAACCATAACTCGAAAATTCGCCGAAACCGGAGACAGAACGAACTAGCATACAAGACAACTAAAGTCAATATTCGCGGACACGATAACAATTCAGCCATCCTTGAGCTCAGCGAGAGAAGAAACGCAAAGGGTGAGCCGAGTGGTCACCGAATGCGGCTCTCGCCGGAAATTCGGGTGGTATGGAAGCAACAGCAGAACAAAGAAAGTAAAGAGGAGAAGCACATTACATGAAGCTTGCCGCGGAGTTCCCGGTCCGAACGGAGCTTGACGTAGATGCGTTCGTCGAGACTGAGTCTGATGAGATCCAATGGCTCCTTCACTGCGCTCTCCTCTTCGGTCGACATTCTTCTTTCTTTTCCCGGCGCGGTTTCTTCTCGGATTGAATTTTACGTTTTCGTTTCTACGGCACACCACCAGACTAAAAATTAGGGCTGGAGAGACTGAAGAGTGCGACGTCTCCTCTTACGACTTACCGCATAACTTTCTCATATTTATCGATTTGGTCTACTAACTTCTAATTGTTTTCATTTCAGTACATGACGTTTGTTTTCCAGTACATGACTTGACCTCCTAAGTCCTACCCACTCGGATTTCTCCAAAATATCATACTTACTAAAAAAAACTCTCACTATTTCTAACTTGCACAAAAACTTTTCAAAATACGCAGTTTCGCCCGGATTATTGCGATATCCAACAATTTAGATGCAAGATTGTTGGAGATTAAAAGCAAATTTACTAATAGATCATCCTAAAACTTTATAATGAATAAGATCTGATAAGATTAAGAATGTAAAACTAATTCAAGTTACAAGTGTGCTAATCTACTCTGCAATATCGTTATTGAGTCATCGACGACGATATATGGTATTGACTTAATAGGGTAATTGGTACAAATGGCCAAATGGGTACACTTTTTGTTAAGGAAAGTCACATATGCAGCCTTCTTGTGGGATGAAGCTACAAATGAATGGAGGAGTTCATTGAAAGAAGCAACAACATACAAGAACTGAGCAAACCATATATACATGTATGGACGAGACAAACAAATACCCACCAATGAAGATTACAAAATGTGCAAAGCTCTAGCTGCAAAGCAGAAACTTTGATATCCTATCCAATCCAATCCAATCCAATCCCAACTCAATCCTATATACAAAAAGAATCATATGCAGATATGTTGAAGTTCTTCCCACAGAGGTGTCAATTCATGGGGAATGGCCAAATCTTTTGACCAAAGTGGCCATGTATCTTCCTTGATGTTCAGCAAGACCCAGTTCAGTTTCACTCGGTTCTCTGCTTCCATCTCCAGAGTACACCCCTGCGCCATAAGGAGAACCTCCTCTGATGCCATCCATTCTGAACATTCCAGCTCCAAATGTGTATCCAATTGAAACATACACCATTCCATGGTGGACTAGCTGAGTTACTGCTGTCAATCTGCAGTAGTAGGTTAAACAAGGACATCAGAAATCTTTTTGAGAACCTAACATTCTGTAATCACTAATGACGAAATTTCTGTAGTAACAATGAGAATGTAATGAGAGAACAACTTACGCAGTGGTCTCTTGGCCTCCCCCTCGAGTACCAGTACTGACAAACAACCCAGCTGGTTTCCCAGCCAGTTTTTGCTCCATCCACAGCTCATGAGTACTGTCAAAAAAACCCATTCATCTGAGCAGCCATGGAACCGAACCTGGTGGGGAACCCAAACAAGAACCCATCAGCATTCGTCATCTCTTCCACAGATATCAAAGGAACCTCATCGTTGCCTTTGTGGGGAGCTCTCATTTGGTCCAGAGTCTCATTCGCCAGAGTCTCTGGAACCCAAAACTGTTGGGAATGAATAGCTTTGAAAGCTATATTGAATTAATTATCCAGTATCCTTTCTAGATACGGAAATAGAAGGATAATTAATAAAAAGAATATTATGGAGATAATTAGAATTAATTATCTTAATATAATATATTTTAATTATGGGAGTAATTATCTTCCTAAATAAAATATGACTTATTCCCAAAGAAAGAGGGAATATTCTGGGTTTTCTGCTCCTATAAATAGGAGACGCCCCAGACCCTCTAAACACACCTCAGAAGAGCAGAAACACGAGAGAGAGTGAATTTATAGAGCTCCGGTTTTTCGCACAAAACCGATGAGCAACAAATCAGAATGGCTGTTTTATCCTGGAGGCGACCGGCTGATAGTCTGCTGTGCGCAATACGAGGCAGTGCCGCGAACGTCTTAAAGAGAGCGACCTAGTCCGCGACTCAGCCAGATCGGTAACCCTAAATTTTTTGTTCGGTTTCTAACAATTTTAAGACGTTTGGTTGCTGTCTTATGTACCGAATAGATACCGATTCTGGCACAAGTGAGATTGTCGATCCATAACCACAACTCGAGATCGGAGACTGTCGCTTCCATCTTGATCATGACGTGGGAATCTCTGGGCGGCCTCGGATCGTGACGTGGAGGCGCATGTCGAGCGAGGGGTGGAAGCAGTTGATGCCATCGCCAACTAAATCGAGCCCCGAAGCGGTGGTTAAACAAGGTCTGGGCCGCTACCTTTGCGGTATATGAATTGTCAAGTTATATGGCAATTATTTGAAGCGGCGGAAGTACTCCCGGAGACGCCGTGACAAGGATGGACCGCCTTCCGGATCGTTTACCGGTGGAGCGTAAGAAGCCTGAGATATACATCTGGGAAGCAAAGGAAACGTGTCTGACCGGGACACGAAGGCAGTAATTCTATGCCTTCAATTCCGTGCAGTAATTTGGTGCTCTCATTTCAGTCTTGGGCTAATTAATTGATCATGTCCATTTAAATGCTCCTTGTCCAATTAATTGTTCCTGCACAATAATATGCTTTTGTCCATAAGTTCCACCACCCAAGGTAAAAGTGGACTCACGTCCATTGTGTAGAATTTTCGCAGGGCTATTTAATTTGGTGGGCCTAGATTATTTGGATCAAATAAACAGCTCTCCTCTGCTCCCGCTGCAATGTTTGATGGGGCAAGATTTTCATATGAAAGCTTTATCGTGGACGGCTGGATTATGTGAAGTCAACGAGACTAATGAAGTGATGTGGGCCGACTAGTGGACAGGCCCGATTGAATTCGAACTTCCGCTTCAGGGAAGTACTTAGTTGTGATTTTATTGGGTCCTTAATTTCCCTTGTCAAACTGGACTCACGTGAGAAATTCCATGGCAGGTTAATTTAGATAGAAGAATGGTGAAATGATTCTGGGCCGGGTGGTCTTCTAATTTTGGAATGAGACCATGGCAGTTGTGAAAGAAAGAACTGCTTGGAGACTAAGGAACATAGACACTATATGTGTTATGCACCGTAAAAGCCAATGAACTCTCGAAAAGAGGTAAGATTCAGAACCTTCTTTATGAATCATTATGATGAATGATGAGCTAGAATCTATTTCACTTGAGTTCTATGCATGGTATTGAGAAATCCATATTAATGCGAGAAAGTAAAATCGAATTGATGCATGTATATGTGGTCATTGAGATGTATTACCTCGATGATTAGAGTATAGATAGAATACATGTTGTGGAATAGAATGGTTTTGTTTGAATGCGTGCATATATATGAAGAATATGTGGGAATAGAATGGATTAATTTTCCATAGTGCGATATTATAAGAAGTACTATTATCAGTACTATACGAACCACTTAGGTTGTTGTGAAACATTAAAGTTTCAAGAATGAGAGCAACAAGCTGAACCAGAGCCACACCAATTAGAAATGGTACCCATCGTAGTAACCATAAGATTGTCACCCAATCCTCTTAGAATGACGTTATGTTTCTCTGTTAAATTTGTGAGAAACTAGGTCATAAGACACGAAAGTGTAAGAACAAGTTTAACCTAGTGTTAACTTGACTAAAGAAGAGGATTTGGTAATAATATTCACTGAGGTGATGACAGAGGTTAGCCTTAATGGTAACTCTGAAGAATGGTTGTTGGATAGGACCGCTTCAAGATATGTGTGTGATAAACGAGCTAAGCTCAATCATACATTGACGCGTATTGAAGGAGAAAGTGTTGTTGGGCAAAACCCTCACCACTGTTGTTGATGGTTCTGGAAAAGTGGAAGAGAACCCTGACTCTAGAAAGTCATTGACTATCCTAGATGTAAGGAATGGCTAAGTAGATAAGATAAATTCTTCCAAGTGTGTCTGTGTGAAGAATTAGAATATCTTATATCGCATTCCCATATTATTATTGGATTGAGAAAAATATGAATTTTCTATATCCAAGCTAAATGACCCATAATATGTGATTAGAGAATCAGAATAAATTGATCTGATTTATGTGGGTAAACTTGATGGAAAAGACAATAAACAATTTATTGCTCTTTAGAGTGCTCTGATTGTCTGACTAGTTATTTGAAATGGTTTGAAATGCCTAATTGCATTATGTTTGCACTGATTATTCGATATGTGGCATGCATGTGGTAGAGTTAGAGAATCAGTGTAGCATGATAACTAGAAGAGCATATGAGTGTGTTTTATGTTGTCAACAATAAAAACACATAGTTCCTATGAAACGAAATACTCATGTTGTTGTGAAATCCATTGATGCCAATAAACTTCCATTTTAAATCAAGAAATAGTGGGGGTAGTGTCCTGCCTACTATTAGAAATAATGGAACTAGTGGGGGTAATAAATATGAGTTTAAACTCAGAAGAAGCAAATGAACTTGAAATCTCTTAAGGTTTTTGGTTATGAGTTTGCTATTTACACCCTGTAAAGAATCATACAAGTCTGCAAGAAGTTCTAACTTTCATAAAGATGCAGATTTGTGGTAGAAATCCATTATTAACGAAATGGAATTATTGGAGTCTAATAAGACTTAAAATCTTGTAGAGTTACCTCTTGGTTGAAAAGCCTTGGGTAATATATCGATAGAATCGAACAAGATTTGGCATCTTTGAGAATTACCTCTTGGCAATGAAGTCATGGGTAATAAATGGATTCTTAAAAGAAAAGTGAAACCTATTGGTTTAGTTTATGAGTATAAGGATCGCCTAATAGCTAAGGCTTTAAGTGAAAAGGAAAAATTGTAAATTTTCTTGTTATCTATTCACCATATGTAGAATAACATCCAAGTATGTTTTGATTGCTAGTGTTGTGCGTCAGATGGATCGTTAAACATGATTCTGTGAATGGTGATTTAGATAGGAAATTATACATGGGACAACCTATAGGGTTGTTATTCCTGAACATGCTTAGGGAGTCTATAGTTAGACAAATCATCGTAAGATTTGAAATAGACTCTAAGACGATGGCATGAATAAATTGGTTCTCTCTCATGGTTTTAAAAGTGAAAGTGACAAGTGCATTTAGTACAAATTTGAGAATGACACTTGCATTATGAATGACACGTCGATCTTTGGTACAAAGACTCGTGATGTCAATATTGAAAAACCATGATGGTTGAGAATGTTGAATGTGAAGGATCTAAATGAAACAAATGTTATGCTTAGAGATCCTAATAACTAGGAAAATACAGGATGTACACCTGCATACATGTTTGATGATGCTCGTATAAATATTTAAAGAACACCTAAGACGGTGTAAGAAAGATAGAATATACTAGCATCTACAGTCTGCGAAAGGCAACTGATAAACATGAGACCCGATTTAGCGGGGGGTACTTGGCAGGCTTACTGATTGTCCTAGTATGAAGCATTGAAATGCTATTGAAAGGGGTCATGAGACACCTTAAAAGAACAGAAAAAACCTTGGTATTTGTTATCAAAGGTTTTGCTGTATTGGTAGGGTATAGTGATGCGGATTAGAATACCCTATAGAGGACTCCAAGACAACAAGAGGCTGTGTTTTAAACATCGATAGAGAAGCTATGTCTTGGAAGTCTAAGAAGTACACGATCCTGGCTCAATCAACTAAGAAATCAGAAATGATAGAGCTAGCAATGGCTAGTAAAGAGGAAAGTTGATTGAGAGGGACTACTAGAGATTCCCTTATGGGAAAGACCGATCCCTCCGGTAGTTGATTAATTGTGATAGCACCACAGCTATTACTAAAGAAGGGAACCGGTTCTAGAACGAAAAGAGACGACAAATTCGTCGTAAGCACAGTACTGTAAGAGAACTCCTAACGATAGGAGCAATGAGGGTGGATCATGTAAGGTCCTAACAGAATCTAGCTGATCCTTTGACGAAAGGATTATCTAGAGAGAAAGTCCAAAATACCGCCAAGGGTATGAGACTTATGCCTACCGAACCACGGATTACAAGTGATGGTAACCCGACCCGATAGACTGGAGATCCCAAGAAACGGGTTCAATGGGTAATAACAAGTCATGAGTAATATTGAGAAAAGTTCATGCATAGTGAAGCATGAATCCCAAAGCCTTGGAGGTTGAGTTCAACTCTTAATGAGATCTATACTCTATGTGGAGTGAAGTACTTTACTTTGGGGGTACTTCTGATAGACTCACCTATGTGAATGTGGGAGTGGGGCCGCTCCCTATGGAACTTTGGAGGCACAAAGTTGCTAGAGCGTTCACTAAACCGGGATAACGTGCATGGCCATAAACGCACGGCCTATGAGAGAATATCACTCAATGAAAAGATCCGGTGTGCTACATTGTCTGAGATAGGGTTCAAGACTACGAGTCACCCTTATGAAATCGGAAGTGTAACCACTACGCTAAGGTTCAAATCTTCGCGATACCTTAGCTTATGCCCGATCTTATGGATCTGTTGATGCTCAGAGATAGTTTCAAAACTATTCAAGTGGGGGATTGTTGGGAATGAATAGCTTTGAAAGCTATATTGAATTAATTATCCAGTATCCTTTCTAGATACGGAAATAGAAGGATAATTAATAAAAAGAATATTATGGAGATAATTAGAATTAATTATCTTAATATAATATATTTTAATTATGGGAGTAATTATCTTCCTAAATAAAATATGACTTATTCCCAAAGAAAGAGGGAATATTCTGGGTTTTCTGCTCCTATAAATAGGAGACGCCCCAGACCCTCTAAACACACCTCAGAAGAGCAGAAACACGAGAGAGAGTGAATTTATAGAGCTCCGGTTTTTCGCACAAAACCGATGAGCAACAAATCAGAATGGCTGTTTTATCCTGGAGGCGACCGGCTGATAGTCTGCTGTGCGCAATACGAGGCAGTGCCGCGAACGTCTTAAAGAGAGCGACCTAGTCCGCGACTCAGCCAGATCGGTAACCCTAAATTTTTTGTTCGGTTTCTAACAATCAGCAGCCCTTCAACCCCTTCAATCGAATCGACCCCCGGCTTCACCTTTCTCGCCAGTATCTCCACATGCCCGTACATTGAGTAGAAGATGATGAAAATCTTGAGCCGTCTCTTGCTTACTACTACTTCTCCATTGCTGGTCTTCTGAACAGTAGTAATGATTCGACTTTGTTGTTCTTCTTCTGCTGCTGGTTCTTCTGGAATCAATGGAGCTGGAGAAGCTTGGGTACTGTTGGGATCAGGTGGTACTCCAATGGGGGACCTTGTCTTGCTGGGGAAACACCCACCTCCTTTCCCCAATTTAGGGATCTCTACTGGGTAAGTGTTGATTTAGAGGAATTCTCAACTACTGGATTCAGAAATGGAAGCAGAAGATTAGGGAAATGAGAAAAAGGAGGCAACTTTTGGAGGAGAAATTAGAAGAGACAGGAGAAGTGGCCTGGTCTCAACTTTACCTTCGTCAGTGAGTGCATCATTAGCTGTTTTATTGTTGGTCCAGTGCTGACTGTATGCATTTCTCGTTGTGCAGAGAAAATGTGTATATGTTTGTTCCCACGTCTAAGGGAGTGAGTGAGTGACAGACAGAGACAGGGAATCATGCCGGCTTCTCAATAATGTACTCATCAGCTTAATCGTTTGAGACACTTTGATCAAATTGAGCCATTTGTTATCACAAATTTTGGATAGATCGGTTAGGTATAGGAATTTCTAATTGATTCATTTTCAGTTAATTTTAATGATTTGAGGTGGGACAGGTAACTCGAATTGACTCGTTTTATAACTCGAATAGACAATTAATTAAATTGTCCGGTTTCAGAATTGATCCATCCGAATGACCCCTTAATTCTTTGAAAATTAATAAAATGATCCCTAATTTTGCACCAACTAAAAATTTGTCAATGTTTGGGTCAGAATGTTGGCTCGAGGTATGAGCAAGGTCGTGCAAACGACTCATTTGAAATATGTGTCTTAAATAAAAAGATACAAATAGATTATGTCATTTAAATTTTAGAAATGTTAGACATAGAGATGATGATATGATCAATAAAATCAAATTACTTTAAAGATAGAGAATCTCACACAATGTATATTACGCTCTGTCCAAAACAAGTAACGAGTAAGATCGAAATCGCCATCTCTAATAGTACACTATTGGATTAAAGAGCGATATGGATAATGTTCAAGAACAATTGTTGCAAATCCATATGACTTGTGAGTTGTTACCGCAACTTTTGTCCCAAAATTTTCTTGAATAAATATAGTTCTAAGAACAACTCGATGCACCAGCAGCCGTACAGTCAAGCAGGACCCAGCTTAGTATAAACAGGTATATAACAAAATCAGCTGCTTTGCTGGTGAACCACTTTTCCATAACAGCAGATCAATGAATGCAATCAAATCAATAATGTTGCAACGAATGAAAAAAGCAATTCACTTGGACCCTGCTTCTGTCACCCTTTTTTCTCTAGACCTCCTGAACTCCCATGGCTGGTTGTACTGGGAATGTCTAAACAGCTTCGGAACTGATATGTCCATTTGAGAGATTGAGATCGATGACAACGCGCTGAAGGCGCTTCTCAGCCTCTTCTTCTCGCTATAGCACTCCTCTTGGTGGCAACTTGATTCGTCCCTCACCCTCGTATCCTGCTGAAGTGTCTCAGGGAGCACACAGTTGCACATTGAACCTGGAAAAATGATCATTTGTTTATCTTAATCACTACGCTTCGAGAAAGCAATTGACAGTGATCTCTAAGTTCAGTGAGGATTCATGTAATTTGACAGAGTTTACCTATTCTTGCCAGCCGATTGACCCACTTTGGGATGGAGTTGCCAGTGAGCTTGTAACAGACATTCTGGGTGAAATGGTTGCAGTTCTTGAAGATCAAATGATAAGTATCACCATTGTAGTCAGCAGACTGAACCTCCATGAACTCTCGAAACTCCTTTGCGTTCAAGGAAGTAGTCCCCATGAATATGGATCTCCTGAAGATGAAACCAGGGCAGTTTCGAGGTTCCACATCGTACACACCTGTCGTCGAGAAGTCATGGGCTCCAAAAGCATACTCCACTCCATGCACTGCAAACACAACAACGGTTCTGTCGCCTAAGTTTTATACTTTTAAGACATTCGAAAACTCAGTGGGAAGTCAGTAGTGAATGCAAACTCCATAATTAGTTAATTACCTTCAACTCCAGAGTGAAAGATTCCAAAGCCAGCCCAATAGATATAACCATTAGCTGTTGTAAGGTCATACACATTGAGATACACAGGGGTATCACCAGGGCCATAACCTGTACATTTCACCTTAGGGAAGATGCAGAATCTGTTGGCTAGTTTGGTCTTGAAAGGGGAAGGCACAATGGTCTGCCATCGACTTCCATTCTGTGATCCTCCTGATACCATGTGTTTTTCCTCTTTTTAATGTAAGCCAAAAGACCAGGAATTTATGTCTTTGCTTAGCAAGGTCCTGGTCCTATGTTCAGGTGGAGAATGAGTCAGAAACAAAGAAGAGAAGTGAGGGCTTATTCTGAAACAAGGGCAGATGTTAGGTCTACCAGACTTTAGTTTCAAGGCTTGATTCCAGCTAAAAGAGTCTCTTATGAACTCACTCGCAAGCTCGGTGAACCGAGCAAACCCCATTTTGGCTGGAAATATGTCATTGCAAAGGAGCTAGACACCTAGATAAGTGTACTTCTTTCATGCAACCCATTCTCGCCTATCTAAGAAAGTTCTGATCTTTTGTTCTGGAACAGAAATGAAGGCTCACACCAAAACAAAATTGTACTGCAAGAGTGCTGGTATAGAAAGGGTACAAGATAAACCCAATAACCAGACCATCTAAACATACTCCATTTTCCAGTTCTTGATTCGTTTTTCTTCAGAGAAATTATCCCAAAAGAACCATTCACAGGAGAGTTCACTAGCAAGCAGGCAAGCAGCTAGACAAGCCAAGCAATTACAAGATCCAAAACATCAAAGAAACAAAACTTATTCGCCTCGTTGCAAAGCGTATCAACCAAATTCCACAGCATCAAGAAATGGCAGACTGCTCAAGAAGACAGCGATAGGTTCAAATCTTGGGGAAAGAGGAGTTACAAACAATGGCAACAACTAGATATGAGAGAGACCCACCAACCTTATTGCCGGAAGTCGGGAAACTGGTCACATGGAAGTGGAGACTGCAACGAAGATACACCAAAACAGAAGCGCCATTCTTAAGGCGGCAAACAACTGAAAAGCTAGATTCGTTTTGTGAGCTCAAGAAGTTTGAAACTTGAATTGAAATGGAGGAATGGGGGGTTGCCCTTTTGTGTTGGCTTGTCTGGGGAGGCAGGCAGTGACCCTACTAGGGCTAGGCAGCTAGTGATCTCCCGTCGGTTATGGGTGGGTGACAAGTATCAAAGCTGGACCGGGAGCAGAAACTGCTGTCGTCTTCTTCCATGTCCAACGGAATCGTGCTGGAGAGAAAGAAAGAAAGTGGGAAGAATATTAATGATTATCAGTGACTGAACTAACTAATTAAAGCACCATTTGCAGAATAATAATAATGGTTTAATTATTGGGAAATTTTGTTTCTTTTTGGTGGTTTAATTATTTGGCAGTTGCCATCTAAGTTCGTGTACATTTTAAGCTCCATCCAACCCACCAACCAAGAACCAGCCTGGAATTCTTACTAATCGCCATTATGATTCGTAGATCTTTTGTAGTGCCACATATTTCAGCCAACTAGATTGAGATCTTTGTGTAGATTAAATGACGTTACTTTGTCAAGAACTCAAGATTAAATTTGTGATGAGACCAAAACTGAGATATGAACAACCATCTTGTCATTGATACAAAATAATTTTGAACTAGAAGAACCGAACAGAATACAGGATAAACAGGAATTCCTCTGCAATTTTCTTTCCACCGTGAACTCAACAGTAACTTTCCTTCTTTATCTCCGTGGTCAAGCTAAAATGGCTCAGACATACAAATGATACATTCACACATGAGAACCTTCAAAATTGACTACAAATTTTTGCTCATGAAGAACTAGCCAAAATGTGGAGTTTTCCTAATGAACCGAATCGCCATTGTTTCACTTCTCTGATCCATCGGGGAAAGACTTCAATGCTTCTTGGTCTCCATTAACATAGAACTCCACGATAGCCCTCATCCGTGGGAGCTTATCAGGATGATAATTCACGTGAACAATCACTGGCTTCACCTTCTTCCTCAACTCACCATCTTTCCGAACAGTCTTAAACAGAACCTTACTGTTCATGAAAATATAATAATCCATGGTCCTCCTTGAAGCAAACAATCCATCGTAGCCAGGATGCGATGGGAAAAACAGCTCCTCATTGAACACTGCCTGATCCCACGCAGTCTCGTGAGCAAGGCGGTATGCCACACGATCCAAGAGCTCGATTGAAGGAATCGTCGGTCTAATGTAGAAGAACCCTGAGTTGTAGACCCATATCCTCATCGTGTGAGCATACCGAGCCCATCCCATGGATGGCTCATCAAACACGTCGTCGTATCCATAGGCGGTCATGTTGTTATGTCCATCCGTCATCGACTCCACGTCAGAATCCCTGTACAGATGATTAAACGGGTTCTGTAGATAGACAATGTCAACATCCGAGAGAAGAACACCATAACCCAGCTGCAGGAACTCCCTCAAGATTTGGAATTTCAAGCTCGATACAGCGTGATTGCCACCAGACTTTCCTACTGAATCGAGACCTTCATCGGGGTCCCTCTTGTAGAATGCAATGTCATTGGATTCACAAAGGTCAACAATTTCATCATCCAAAGCGACAACCAAGTAATTGGGTATGCCAAGCTTTTTGATGGTGGTGAACTGGACCTCGAGCATTTCTTTCACATTCGAGTTGGCTAGAGTGACTATGAGTTCTTTCTGGACGGCGACTTTGTCAAGTATGGCTGACAACCTTGGGTTCACAGATTCGTCTGGGATGACTGCGAGGTTTGTTCTTAGACTCTTGACAGTACCAAAAGGTCCAGCCTTGTGCTGTTGGCCTAATATGGCAACTTGAGTTTCTGCTTGTTGTTTGATTTGTTCAGCATACCTGAGCTTTGAAGTTAGCTCCTTGACTTGTTTCTGCAGCTCTGCATTCTTCTCTGATGCTTCAGAAAATTCGAATTTTAAGGCTTTGACTTTCTCGGATGGTTCGCAGGAGGTTGATACCACCTAAAGAAAAGAGCTACATGAGTTGAGTTGATGATCTGCAACCAAAATTCATTCCCCTCTAAACCCTCCATTTCAAGCAATAGAAATTCAGAAACATGACACAACACAGATCATCAATGGTGAAATTTTTTGTTCTGCTACTAGTTTCAGGATGAAGAACAGACCATCATATGGAATGGTGGGATCCAGTCTATGATCTGAGAGATTAAGCAACAAGACTAACTTCCCAGTTCATGATCTGAGAGATTGAATATGAAACAATCATGTACTTGCCAAATTGGGTTAGCAAGATCATACACAAAAGCTCTCCACTTTAGCCATTTAATTCCCCTCCACCTTTTTGCCTGTGTTTCAAGCAAAATTAATGCCCCATAATCGATTAAAAAACCCTTTACAATCCAAATCTAGAAACCCACAACCAACAGTAAACGGTGTTGCGTTATAACGCATATTCCAAGGAAAAAATAGACAAAGATCTCACTGCAAAGTAAACAAGAGAAAGCAAACCCCATATGAAATCAACAACAAAGAGACGAGAGAGGAACCTGGGAAATAACGGAGCGGAGGGAGGAAGTCTGGAGGCGAGCACTAGTAGCGGAAACGAAGAAGCCGTGAGGGTAGAAGAAAGCGAAGGCGAAACCGAGCAAGATCCCGAGCGCAACCGCGATTCCGACTTTGGATTTGATGAAGGCGGCGCCGCTGCTGTTATTCCGCATCAATGGCCCGACTCTTCTTCCCGCCATCATCTGCTCCCAAAATCTTGTCCCGCTCTGCAAATGGAAATGGAGATGTGGGGAAAGAGGCTATGCTCAGTCAATCCATGAGCCCAGATGATAGCGATCGATTGGGTTGACTTTAACCAGTCCTAGTTTGTTTTCTGCATATTTTATTACACGAGTTGGGAGATCTGCTGACTGGCTGGCTTTCTCTCTCTGTGATGCAGGAATCGGAGGAGAGGAAGATGCAGGGTAGATGGCTGATACACAGAAGTGTAGGAGAAAATTTTCTTTTTAATCCTCTTTGTTTGTTCATAGTTCCTAGTACTTATCAATTTCTCAAAATATATTGAAAGTTAAAAGTTAAAACTCTGAAGTAAATGGAGAGGTTGAAAGTCAAATCAAATCGCTAAATAAATAAAAGTTTTTTCGAACAATAGTTTGCGAGTTAAACTATGAATAGAATAAACTTAAATAAATCAGCTGTTTTTTTCAGTCACAATATAGACTCTTCTCATGCTCAAATTATGGGTGCTCAATTGGGTGTTGGAACCATAGGAGAACATGACTCTTATTTAGGTCTGCCAGCCATCTTATCTAAATAAAAAAGGGATACATTCCAGTTCATGGAGGAGAAACTTATTAAGAAATTACAAGGGTGGAAACAGTGTTCCCTTTCGAAAGCCGGGAAAGACATTCTTATTAGAACATCGACCACTAATATACCAGTATTAGGAATGTCATGTTTCAAGCTCCCCAAAGAAAACTGTAGACAATTAAACAGTCATGTCGCAAAGTTTTGATGGGGTATGGCACAAAATTCAGATCATCAAATCCACTGGTTGTCTTGGAAAAGCCTAGCTCACAGTAAGTTCCATGTAGGTCTTGGATTCAGAGACTTTGAAGCCTTCAATCAAGCGTTGCTAGCCAAACAATGTTGGAAAATATGGACTAATCCAAATTCACTCCTTTCCCAGATTTATAAGGGTCGATACTTCATCCATGACCCAATGTTCGGTGTTGGAAGCATCAATCGGTTCAAACCCTTCGTGGGGGTGGAGAAGTCTACTCTTTGGAAGGGATCTGCTCCTCCAGGGATTAAGGTGGCAAATAGGCAATGGACAAAGAACTCGGGCATTCATTGATAACTGGGTTCCGGGGGATAAACCCTTAATCCCGAGTACACGACCCCACATTCAAAATGGATCTCCTATGGTATCTTTCTTTATAAAAGAAGATCGAGGGGAATGAGACGTTCCAAAACTCCAAAATTGCTTTGAACCTCAGTCTGTTGATCTCATAAGGAGAATCCCTCTTCCTCGTTACTCACTGCAAGACATTAGAGTGTGGCACTATTCCAAAGATGGAAAATACACAGTCAAATCGGGTATCACTTAGCTTTGGAAATAATATTGGCACCAAGTCGAAAACCAATAGTGCATATCATCGACCCCCCTATTTGGAAAAAGACTTGGAACATCCAAGTTCCGCCGAAACTCAAATTCTTCATATGGCAATGCCTCAAAGTCATACTCCCCACAGTAGTGGCCCTTCAATCTCGTGGAGTAAACTGCCTTAACCGATGCCCTGTCTGCTGGAGACATCGAGAAAGTATCGAACATTTATTTTTCAGATGCCCCCTAGCCATCAGATTGTGGTCTTTAGTGGGATTGAGCAACTTTATTGAGACCGCCCAGACTGTTAATTTTAGTCTATGGTGGCGACATGTCATGGTCTCTGAGACCTCCCCATTCCACATTCTCCAATGCGTCTGTTTACTTTGGAGAATCTGGAAGTCTAAAAATGAAGTGACCTTTGAATTTACCCAACATCATATCCGTTCCTTAGCCAGACAGTTCTACAACCAGGTCCTCGAATTTTCCAGTCTCTTCCCCCCCCCCCCCCCCACCTCCCCGCAGCTCTCTACTCCCAAACATTTCAGCCACCTCTTGGGTCCCTCCACCAGAAGGCTTTTTGAAGATCAACGTCGACGCAGCTGTTAGTGCCTCCGGGTGTTCGACTGGGCTTGTTATCCATGGCTCAGACGGGCATGTGAGGTTGGCAGTCGGGTTGCAGCATCAAGGAATAGTCAACCCTTATATGGCTGAGCTTCTAGCTTTCAGGGATGCTATCTCCTTTATAGCCTCAAGATCCTTGTCCCACGTGATAGTCGAAGGCGACTCCGAAGTGGTTGTCAACCAAGTCCGTCAAGGCGTCTTTGGTGGTCCGGTGTTACGAGAGTGTCTCCAGATCCGTAACTCTCTGTCTGTTTGTATGGAGTTTAGGGCGGTACCTAGATCCGCCAACAGTGCTGCCCATAGAGTGGCGCGTAAAGCACTACTTTTGTCTCTTGTAGAGCTAGAATCTTTTGATTTCTTGGGGGTAGCTTCAGTAGAGTCTTTTAGGGGTCCTGGGTAGAATTGTAAGCTTAACTATTATTTCTCATTGATATCACTCAGAAATAATAATAAAAAAAGTAATAGAATTTAAAATATAACAAAGTTTGAGTAGATACATTATATAAAAATCAGACATAAGTATAATATCTAGCATAACCTTCTTCCAACAATTCTAGTTATAGTGACCAACTAGTTTGCGGCATGATATCAGAACAGGTTTGGCCAAGTGGTCGTGTGTTCGAATCTCAACGACCGCCAATATTAGCAGTTTATTAAAGTACAAGGTGTGATGAGCCTGTGCAAACGGTAACGAGAGGTAAGCAATAATGGTAGTAAATAATCGACGGATTGGAATGGGTGTTACAGTTCTTGACGACACCAGAAACAAAGTTTGGTACACTTGTTTGAGTACCTTGTACCCTCTTGTACCTTATGTGTTTGATTTTTGTTGGTTATGTTGCTAGGTAGTGTACTCTTAATAAAACTAGCCTAGGGCCCGACCTATTGGCCTGTGGAGTTGTAGATCAACATTCTAACTTGTTATGTTTTTATGTATTTTGAGTACTTGAATGTTATAATAGCGACTAACCTATTATTTTTTTTGTGGTCGAAGCGACTATCCTATTATAAGTATGTAGCAGTATTTACCTTGTAATAAAATGATTGACCAATAAATTTCATAGCTTCAAATGTAGTATTCATGAGTGTATGAGCCTTACGTAAAAAGACTATTATCGTATCAACATTCCTTTCATATAGTTGTTCAAATCTTCCAAATGAGTCATGATATATTTCTCTAACTAACTCAATTTATTGAATTCTGGTAGATATAGGAAATAACTAAGGTTCCTATCCTAGGTAGGAGGTCATAAGACATTGTCTTTCCCTTTAGATTGCGAAATGCATCTCTTTTCCCGTTAGGCAGTGAGCGGTTTATAGTAAATGGGCCGACTTCCGACAGACGACACCACCTTGGTTTCGACTTCCGACAGACGGCAATAAAAGCAAATGGTATTAGAGTGTTGCAAGTAGAATTCAAAATTAAACATTTTCTTATTATCAACAAGCGTATGTATCAATGATTATATTTATTTTTCAATCTACATTTTTACTTAGATAAAATATTCATTTACTATCAATTAATCTACACCTTATATAAAGTTGAAATGAGAAAAATTGGATCTCCATTTCAAATTTTTTGCATCCAAAGCGTCTGTCAGAGGGATATTCTGGGAAATGTGAGTCTGCTTTGATTTGTCTGTTTGCGTGGAAGTAAAACACTCTAAAGGTTGAACTATACCATACCCAAATATTGTTTCGGCCCATTTACTAATAAACCGCTCACTGCCTAACTTGTTATGTTTTTATGTATTTTGAGTACTTGAATGTTATAATAGCGACTAACCTATTATATATTTTTTTTGGTCAAAGCGACTATCCTATTATAAGTATGTAGCAATATTTATCTTGTAATAAAATGACTGACCAATAAATTTCGTAGCTTCAAATGTAGTATTCATGAGTGTATGAGCCTTAAGTAAAAGGACTACTATCGTATCAACATTCCTTTCATATAGTTGTTCAAATCTTCCAAATGAGTCATGATATATTTCTCTAACTAACTCAATTTATTGAATTCTGGTAGATATGGGAAATAACTAAGGTTCCTATCCTAGGTAGGAGGTCATAAGACATCGTCTTTCCCTTTAGATTGCGAAATGCATCTCTTTTCCTGTTAGGCAGTGAGCGGTTTATAGTAAATGGGCCGAAACAATATTTGGGTCTGGTATAGTTCAACCTTTAGAGTGTTTTACTTCCACGCAAACAGACAAATCAAAGCAGACTTACCTTTCCCAGAATATCCCTCTGACAGACGCTTTGGATGCAACAATGTTGAAATGGAGATCCATTTTTTCTCATTTCAACTTTATATAAGGTGTAGATTAATTGATAGTAAATGAATATTTTATCTAAGTAAAAATGTAGATTGAAAAATAAATATAACCATTGATACATACGCTTGTTGATAATAAGAAAATGTTTAATTTTGAATTCTACTTGCAACACTCACACTCTAATATCATTTGCTTTTATTGCTGTCTCTCGGAACCAAGGTGGTGCCAATAACCCACGTTAGCAAGAGCTCTTGCTAACTAATATGTTTACTAGCTTATTACCCGGCCCGTTGGCCGGATTACTGTATGTTACCCACTTGTGGAATGGGAGAGAAAGCAAGTGAGAGTGAAGGGATTGGGATTCCACTTGATTAGGACCGACCCACTAATCCAATTCTTCCCGACCCGCCCCAACCTACAGGGTCAGAAAGAGTCAATAAGAAAATACGAACGGGGAGGATTAGTCATATATCTTGACTCTTCAGAAGTGGGTCAAACAGGATCAAGGTTGGGTGAGGGCAATTTTTAGCGCTAAGCAGAGTTCTGGGTTGAATACCTTTACTTAGGCCTAGAAATTGGTGCTGATGCAGACTGCAGTTTTTATTATACCATCATCAATCATCATTGAATTAGTCCTGGGCATCCCTCCCCGTTGTCGGTCTGAATTCTAATGATGGCTTCATTCCTTGCACCAACCATATCAGCGAGTTGCCATCTCGAGCATGATTTGCCTATGTACAAATAATACAATTAGAGTATGAAAATGAATTCAATGAAAAGGAAAAGAGAATTCTATCACATGCCAATAAATACACACATAATAGTTGAAGCTAAGTGAAAGTCATTACTCGCACATCAATTCTCAAAAATTACAGACTAAACATTGGCTAGAATGGCACTGAAACTACCAAGAATCATGGACGAAACAACTTGTCAAATTAAATAATCCTTATACTGAAACTACCTTCTAACTTGAAATAAGACATGATCACAGTTCATAGCTCTCTTCTCACTATGAATTGGTTGCAGCTCGTCCTTATCACTGCCTCTCAAGCTCAATTCAAACAGAATAGAGACCGTTATGTAAGATAACCATATTCTTACTGATCATAATTCCTTTCTTCACTCCATTTTTGTCGGAGAAAAGAGTTATCCCCCTCTCCTGCATTTCCCTTTCCCCCTCTCTTCTCCCTCTTCTTCACAAACCGATCCCTAAACCAGCAACAACAACACAAAAATAGCCTTCGCCTCTCCCATCTCCATCTATTGAACGCGTTGGTGGCAAGACAGGACTGCAGAAGCAAAATTTTCTAAAATCAAACTAAATTTTTTGAAGCAGACTCAACCACGAAAAAAGAGTAAAGCAACAATGTAGTAGAACCCTAAATTTAACTACAATCAAGCACATATCAGCAAGATTTTCGATTTGTCTGAGAGTTAACTACACGGAGAGAACAATTGATGCATAATTGAAATGCTCCAAGCAAGTTGAAGGCAAACCATACCTTTAGAATTTGGTCATTATAATAACCTTCAAGTATTGATGCTTCTAAGAACTATCATGTCCAACCCCCACTTATACAACTACGTAGCCATAGTAATTAGTTGTATAATGAGAAATATTACAAAGAAAACTACATAAACAACCAATGTAAGTAAATATTAAAACTAACAACTGATAAAACTTAAAATCTCTCTATTGGTATAAATGTATCTATTAGTAACTACTATGCAATCGAGTATATATGATTTTTAGGCACTGAATAAGAAAAGTATAGATGGCTCACAAATGAAGACGTAGCAACTGAAGGTAGCACACAAAAACCAAAAATAGAAAAAGAGATAAGAAAAAAGGTGAGAAAAAGTCAAACAAAGAAAAAGCCCACATAGGAATACCTCGCTAGCTTTAGGGACTCTCTGGCTCTGCCACAACAAACAACCTTCTTAAAAATCTAACACCCTGAGACATCAAACAAACCTCCCACGACACTAATGTATGTCATTCCTATTGTCCAATAGGTTTGCCCAATTTAGACTTCTAAATAAATAGACTTTTCACCATTAAACCAAAACTCACAATCATTAACAGTTAATGCAAAGACATACATTTCTGAGGCCAATCGCAGCATTTAAGCATAATTTTTAGTTGAAAAGAACAACTAAGTATTTAGCTAAATGATATAGTAGAATGGACACAATCTGCTACCTACTAATGATATAAACGTGTACCGGTACCATCGTTGTATCCTGACTTGCCATTTGCAACGGGCACTTTGAAAGACAGCTGCATTTTAGAGAATAAACACCCATAAGGGCGTTACGAAACCAAGCTTAATCCAAAATCTTCATATTCCACTTCGAAGGCTCCATTTTCAAAAATAAGAGAGTTTAACATGTCAAATCACTCATTTGAAAAATCTTAAACAACTATTAATCAATGCAATATAATGGCACGTTCCAAATTATGTACTTGTAGAAATAATCCCAAATAATTATCAATTAATGCCCCAACTACCTAATGTGCAGAATAGCCCTGGAGCTGTGATGTTGTTTGCGTTGGTCTACCTTCAAACATAACATAGTTGCATCACTAACCAAAGCAATTAAGCAAAAATATTCATATTCCAAGTAGAATAACTCAATTCAATTTTTGGCCAACGCTTTATACATATTGTTTACCCCTGGACCTGTTGCACTTGCGCCTTCAGATCTTCGTGGATACAATACAATTGCGGAGAGGAGGCTGTCAACGGAATAAAAATTGTTAATTAAGTGAATCACCATACAACTAAACAAACTCGCTCTTCTTGATTAGCTATCAAAATAGTGGGGGTCGCTACAATCCATCGGTTGCTCCCTCTGCGCCTAAGTTGTAGATATTAGGTTTCAGTGAGAACTTTGAGTACATGAGGAGATATTTTGTAGTGGAGGAGATGACCCGGCGAGTAGAATAGGAAGATTTATAGAGGCTGCGATGGGCAAAGCAGTTAAAATCGAGATTTTACCTAAAATTGAAAACTGGGGTAAAATCAAAATCGTATAATCGAATCGTAAAATCGTAGGATTTTAAGTACCATATAGAACATAGCATATAAGAATATTAATAAGGTAAATTATTAATATCACAAAGACACATAGCATTTAAAATGATAATTCAGAAGAATTTTTTTTTCATAAGATAATTCTCAAGATTAATGTTCCAAAATCACTATTTTAATTGTTATTTAATGTGTAACTCAAAATAATTCATGATGAAGGGATATAGTTAATGGGTTTGGCTCTTATTTTCATGTTATGTCTAGGTTGTTTAACTCAAAGTAATATTTCGACATCGTCTACTAAGTATGATTTAAAACTAAAAATAATTGAACTCCAATAAAATAAGTAATGTTAGTGGCTTGGTACAAATATATTCATTAATAAATTAATTAGTTAATAATGATGTTAGTTCTTACATACTTCCAATATTAGGACAGGTGTTTTACCAATAAGTTAAATGGGGTGAAGGGAAAGAGATTAACCGAACCCTAATTTGGTTATTTTTATTATTTTTTAATATTTTTCTAATAGAAAAATATATGAGAAGATTCCATTGCCCTTTCCGCTGAAACAGTTATACTTATTTTAAATTGGCTCAAACCACCTATTTTGTTCTCTTACGATCAAAATCCCGATTTCGGTACTATTTTACGATTTTAACGATTTTAGTCCCGATTTTAAACGATTTTAAGGTCCATCAATTTTATAGTAAAATCAAGATCGGAATCCCTAAGTAAAATCCTAAAATCCTACGATTTTACGATCAAAATCCCGAATTTGACTGCATTGGCGATGGGTGCACGATTAGTGGGCCAAATAACAGTTTGGGCCCGTTTAAATGAAAACATATTTTTACTTTCGTGCTCAACAGACCGACCGCACTGGCATCTTCTAAATTTTCCCCTAAAAAATTGCTCTGTACGCATCAAATTTGAAATGGAATCCCTCTTTTCTCATTTCACATTTCACATTTATATGATGTGTAGATTGTGATGAGTGTAGATGTAGACCTGTCATTGTCCTACAAATTCATTAACACGCCACAAAGTGGTGAAATGAGCCACCATATTAAACACAATCTTGTATAATGATCATTGGATCCAATCATGCCAGATTATGAAGAAGTTTAAAATGTAGCGGTTATCCCGACTAAAACATTAAAAGAACCAGTCTCATATAGTTTGCACAAAGATATAATTTCTCCATAGTAATTCTGAAAAATAATATTAATTTAAGAAGTCGATATTGCTTCTACATGTTTAATATTGCAATTCGATATGCAATATTCGAACCAGTGATATTTGGGCTGCAATTTTAGGGTTATTGTATATTTATAAAATAGATAGAAATTTAAATTAAGTATTAAACTACAACTAAAATAATCAAAGTATTAAAACACCAAATAAGTACTTACGGGAGATTCAGTGGCCAACTAATCGTTAAAAAAGTCATATGATTTTCATAATTTAGGTTCGTGTATGTTTGAATTTAAATAGATACAATAAATATACTTAGTGTGATTGGTTATGATCCTTGCTTGCCTTTAAAGAGACCAAGGTTCAAATCCCAGTGCATGCCTTTTTTATGAATAAATAAATAAGAAAATAAGCAATTGTGAAGACCAAAATGTCCTTCCTATAATCACTCTCGTTGCAGGAAATTTGAAATGGAGCAACAGTTTTCATCATTCGGCTTTTATTTATTATCTAGAGATAGATTGAAAGACTTGGACATGAAAAAATGATAAGTTTAGGGGCTTGTACATACTATTCTTTAGTTCAGGGATCCGGATGGAAAATGTAGTAAGTTTGAGGATCCAAGTTGATACTTTCAATTCCTACATTAAAAGCCAAATTATCCAACCAAGTCATCTCTGCTCGTTGGAGGCTCCAACAAAATAATTCGCGGGCGAAAGAGGGAAGAGTTCGACCGAGAAAGCGAGCTCGGCTCGCCGCAACCATCGACCTTCGGTGTCAGGAAAGATCGAGAAAGATAGAGGCGCTCGAACGGAAATCGTGAGGCTTGCCGTCGGAATTCCGTCGCCTTGCTGCTTGTCTCCTCTTCCTTGCGTCGCGCACTTCCCCGACGGGAAGAGAGGATATCTGGCTTTGTTTCGTAATCAATTCGATAAAACCGAACCCTAGGTGTGCTGTTTTTGCTTTTCTTCAATTGGACTGAGTTTCGACAGATAGGAGTCCATTAGTCGTGCTTTTCTTTGCTCGCTTGACATTGATTGGATTTGTTGGCTTTTGTTGTGATGGAATGGGAAAGGTATTAGAGGCTTCTTTGTTTGATTCATGTGCTTTGAATGTGGCTGATGAACATGGAGTTTGTTATTTCTTATGAGAAACTCTCATTTGTTAGCTGGAGCTGAAATGTGTCGTTGAAGAATTATCATCTTCGGAGAGTTGGTTTGTTTGTGTATTAATCCTGTGTTGTTTTCTACATGCATCATTTGGCGATATAGCCTTGCTCTGCTCAAGCATTTCCCCCTAAAATGGTGAAAATTATGGAATACAAGCAATTCATCTTAAATGGCAAAACTTTTAGAGATAGAGATTACATGAACGATGGGCTTGTTCCTCCCCCGTGTTCTTCAAATAGTACCTATATGTGTGTGTACCCACGGAGAGAGTGGGATTCTTGTGTGCTATTTTCTCTCTTCTTATTGCTTACCACCGTTGTTATCTGACTATTCCTACCTACTACTTGTCTGTGACGTGCATTTATAGTTTTCCCTCGAAAATTTCTTTCCACTAGACATTGTTTCTTTGGACTTGGTATTACTGCTTTGCATTCAGAATCGTACGAGCTGTTTGGTAGGTTGATGTGCGGGAGATGGGAAATGAAATGACTTCGAGGGCCTTTCATATTCACATTGATATATTAATAAAGCTCCTCACTTTATAGGAGGAACTTTGATTAAAGGAAATTATGTTTGTTCATCTTTAAATTTCCAGTTGTGAGTAGTGATATTTGGCTACTTCTTGTTAATAAAGCTGCCGCACTCCCTTCAGATCATATTAGCATAACACTAAGCTTGTTATTTCCGCTTTTCTCATCAGGATGCCTGTAGCATTTGCTGTCAGCTCCTTACCTCTGGTAACCCCAGGTATTGCTTAGATTACGCACTTGCCATCGATGAATGAAACTTATTAGACTACTTGTTATAGCACATACCCAGCACATAATACCTGGTGGTAGTAGAAGAAGTTGACTTCTCTCCACAGTGGTCTTTCTTACAGCATAACATAATAACGAAGTTATCAATTGGGAGAGACACTCACGTTTCATGTTTGTTGTATAGCAAACCTCAAGGGTCAATGGAATGGCCAAAGCAAGCAAAATGATAAGCCGGTCAGGAACATGTTGCACTTCCAACCTTTGAATGTGAGGAGGCATCATAGACTTGTGATTTCTAGACCAGCGAGGCTTTCCACACAGTTATTGTCTAATCCCACAAGAACCCAGTCTCCTGCTATTGTGTGCTCTGTTGCTCTGGTGAGACTAGATGCTTTACATGCTTTTATTTTACTCTTGATGCTTAATTGTCTTAATTTAATTGTTTCAGTGTGGTCTGTCCTTTTTAATGTAATTTTTTAAAGATAACTGTACATGGCTCTAATGGTTGTGGAGAGAATTGTGGTAGCAAGTAACTCGATGTTCAATAGTTGGCTTGTGCAGTTTGAGTATACTTTAGAAGGAAGCAGCAATTGAGTCTTTTGTTTGGGCTGTGACAGTGTCTATGATTACTTCATTTGAATCTTTCTTTGAACTTTTGTTTTAAAGCTGCTTCTGCTCTCATTCTTGAATGTTCGCCTCCTTGTCTGCTCTTGTTTCTAGGGCTCAGTTCAGCTGTTGAATATGTCTCACCGAACTGCTACGGGAAACAAGTTGCTTCATTGTCTTTTGATTATCTTTGTCCTATATAATGATCATATGGTTTTTCTTTTTGACAAATATCGTATGTGCTGTTAGTATCTGAGGAGAGAGTGGGTGATTTTCCTGTGAATCAACGTATATAACCTTTTCACTTCTGAGGCATGTTACTGAAAGCTTCTTTTGCTATCCTTGCTCTGCATGATGTAGACTATTCTTGGAATGGGTGGTTACGTGGTTTAGAGTTGCCGGATCGTTCTCTCTTGCCAAATAATCCCTTCTTCGGTCACATTTCCTGGGTCTAAGTTTGGTGGTCTATTTGTCTTACCCAAGTGATTTATGCTCTATATAACTTAATACTTCTGAGGGCGATTAACTGAACATGCTCATGTTTCCGGTTGAATTAGTATGAAAGCATTAGTGATATGTGTTTTCTGTATTTTTCCTTCTCGTATGAAATTATCGCACAATGTAAAAGTCGGAACTATAAGGTGTTTACTTTACTTGCTGCAGAATGCAAGGTGCTCAGCCTCTGGACAAACTCAAACTGTGCTTAAGCAGTCACCGACAATTACCCAGGCCCCTGTACGAGGTAACTGCTACTTTTTCCTTGTTAATCCCCGATTGCCAAATGCCTGTGGTATAGAACTTTGTGCTGCGATATTGACGGGGTTCTTACACTCCATTTTATAAAAAAAACATGGCGCCTAGAGCACAATAACATGTTGATGGTATTTATAAAAAACAATATGTCGATGCTGGTGTAAGGTTAAGTGTTTATTGTGGTGGCATTAGGGGCTTAAGGTCACTGTAGATAAAGATGAGTGCCTATGTTCTCTGCTTGCCAATAACATGTGGGGTTGAACTACAGAACCAACAAAGACGCCGGAGATCGATGATGGAGGGCCTGGACTTCCACCGGGCGATGATGGTGGAGGTGGCGGCGGTGGAGGTGGTGGAGGGAACTGGTCTGGCGGCTTCTTCCTATTCGGCTTTCTGGCCTTCCTGGGATTTCTGAAAGACAATGAGGGCGAAGATGAGTACGGGGAAGGCAAGAGAAGGCGAAACTAGTCCCGCTCTGGTAATGGGTAAATGTGATTCTTTATAGAAACTTCATCCAGTCCAAAAATAGGATATTTCTATGGAACTTTAACTATAGAGAGCGTTGGCTTTGTATTTGCCCGCCTGAAGCAGTATTCGGTTCCCGCTACTTTGCTCCTTGTATAATGTTTACTTGATATCAATTGTTTTTCCTCCCCAACATAAATCGAAGATTGTTCTGGTTCGACCGGACTCGAAAGAATGCTCGGAAAGGTCACAAACTCATGCTCGTAACAGACAGTATCTGATTCGACATTACTCGAAGAACGCTATACGAATATGGTTCGAGCCTCGAGAGACTCACCGTGCCCTACCCTGGTGCCATTCCTAAGTGGAGGTAGTTCATAATCCTAGCCAGAAGCAATTTAAGGCAACCCAGCCGTGGTGCTCGCATACCAACCGTGGATCGGGGGCGTGGGAAATCCTTCCACGGTTATTGGATGGACGTAATGGTAACTTATGTACGAAATTGTCATTGCATTTATCTAACGATCGTGGATCACCCACCCGTATCCGATTGAACGATGTGTGCCACTTGTGAGCACTTTCTTGCAGACACTTAAGCAGCAAAAATTGGATTTGAGGTCCATCTAAAAGCCGCAAGGCGTGTGTACTAATATGCCAAGAAAGTGGAAAGTGGAGGGACAAAAAAAGCAAAGAAGACGAGCAACATGCAGTTGAGTACGATACGATGGGAAAGGCTGAAACAAACGTACCAAAGAACTGTAGCAATACGAACTCCACATTTCCCCATCTTCTCAAACTTGTGGTTAAAACTTACAAACATGGCTAACTGTTTCTTGATATCTTGAAGCGTTGGCCACAAACTCGCCCCCTCCCCGCCATATTCGTCCAAATTAGGTGCTGAGACAAATGAAGGTGTTGCTCACTGCGACGTTTTTTCCAGAATGGTGACAACTGAGAGAGAAGGGTCCTCTCCCCACTTGTAGGAAAATGATTGCCATAGAATTAGAGCTGTCCCCTCTTCTTTCAACTTCCCCACTGTTGTTCTTCTTCAAACCTGTACCGTAGCTTGACCGTCGAAGTGAATGCATATTGCATAATGAGTTTGATCTGGTTTTTGGCTAATTGGGATAGATCTTGGAACCCGTAAACTGGAGAACAGGACGCTGGATTGAGGAGAAGAATAGGTACGGGATCGGGATTTATTGGAGAAAGGTTAATTATGGATCATATACACATTTCTCAAATGAAGTTTATTGCACATGCTCAACATATCTTGTGTCAAGAACCAGTTGCTCCCAATAACTCGAGTTGTTGCGGGAGAGGTTCAATCGTGAATCATATACCGTTTACTAACAGTGAGCAGTGAGAATTCGAAAATACGACCATTTAAGCAAAACCAATTATGATATTATGTCATAACCTAGTTGTCCGTATTAACGCAACTCCTACTTTATTACCTAATAAGCTACTTACTGCCTAAGGCTCCATCAAAAGGAACCATCGTAGCGTAGGAAGAAAAAAAAATTAGTTGATGGACTTAATTAAGCAGCTATTAACAACCCATAATTTGAGGTACAAGTTTCATTACGTAAACGTAATGAAGAAAAAGATGCAAATGCATATTAGGTTAACCAACACAACGTAACTTACATTTTAATTATCTGCATAATTAAACTTGTTTATCAATGCCCTGCAAATCAAAGCAAAGAGTACTTAACCTGATTATTAATTAATTAATGTACACAGTAACGTAGCCACAGTGTTAACTTTATCAATAATAATAATAATGCAAATATAATATTGTATAGTAATTGATTATCGTTCTTTTATTAATTAATACATGATTATTCATAGTTCATAAAAGGTATCGTGATGGCAACGTTGCAATTTGAGGCTGGTATGATTCCATAAATTATAGGGTGTCGTCTTTCAAAAATTAAACTAATAGCTAAGTAATGATAAAATTTATAATTTCAAGGAATCTAGCTATAAATTTCAAGGAATCTAGCTATAACCCCTCAATATCAAGGAATCGGGGAAAAACAGGTACGCAATGGTAGCACATATATATTTAATGTAGGATTAACGTAAACATCAACCTTCTGTAGCTGCACATAAATTATCAGTGCCAACGATTAAAAATACCGGTGTCCTCTTTTCAGAATATAAATAAATAATTAATATAAATAAAACTAATATCTAAATAATTCATTTAAAAATACCCGTGTCTGCAAGAATCAACTTGTAGTGTAGTGGTAAAACACTTTTCATCAACCTAGAGGTTGTGAGGTAATTTTTTTTCACCCCAATTGTACAGGTGTCACGGGACACTGCCCGGACCCCCTGCCTCCGCCTCTGTAAATTATAAACCCGTGCCTAGCTTTGTTAAACATAGAAGTTAATTAGTGGTCAATTCATCCTAAATATCATTAGTTCCTAATTATTGCGAAAATGAAAATAATGATCAGGTGAAGAAACAATGTGGTCGTCCTAAGTAATTTTTAACTATAAAAAGCATCGATTAAAAAAATGACGATCTCTATCATCAACCTTTTTTTTATATATATTTATGTTTCTACTATGGTCTTACGTGCACATGGTCTGAACCTAACCTAGCATGATATTTCAGTAATTATTTTTTAACATGGAGCCGGCCATTATTTTCCACAAAAAAATGTATTATAAATTGATGTTACTGTTGATAATGATAAAGATTGCCAACTAAATGTAATTATTTATTTTCCCGATGTATGGTTTGGGATGGGATAGAGTCATAGTCTCATAGAGACCGGCCGGCTTGAGATCCTCATACATAATACATAGAGCGTTTGAGTGCTTGGATCATTCCGTTGAGTTATTTGGTATCGAATCATTCGTTTGTCGATAAAATATGCATGTATCATTTTGTTTATACGTAAGTCTCAAATAATTTTATAAAAACATATTTAAATACTTCTTCATGAGTTATCTGCAAATAACATATTATTTAATTATAATTTTCAATTATGTCATTGTCTTTTTTTCCCGTAAACTCACCTCTATCTTTCCCTTCTCACTGCTTCGTCTCCAACCAATTTTTTTCTTCTTTTTCTCAAATTCAACAGGTGGTGAAGAGGGTCATCCATCTCGTCGTCTCTCCCAAGTTCTCTACATCCAACTAGGGGTGTTCAAATGTTTACCATGGTTATTATCAAACCAAATAAGGCTAAATTTCATTAACCATGGAATACAATATCATAACCAAACCGTCCAAACTAATACAACAACCAAATTAACCAAATTAAAGTTTAATCTGTTTGGTTAATTGGTTAACCAGATTAACCAATATAAAATCACATTATCAATAAGTGATAAATTTTTTGGTTAATTTATTAATTCACAATTTATATAATGAATAAAACATAACAATCAACACATAGTTATAGTTGACCCTTAACCAAAATACATGCAACTAAGACAATTATCTTACGGTTAGTATAGAAGTATTCACCTAACAGAAATTTATCACAATGAAATGGGTTAATGAATTGTTGTGTGAATTGACTTAGTCTTTTAGCAATTTTCATATGCTGAAAAGGACATTGCTTTCAAGTTTGCATCCAACATAATGTATGAGACTTATCTAAATTAGGTGTTCATATGTTGTGGTCTACACTCTACATATACAAATATACATTATAGGAACAATATCATCTAGGGGGTAAAGCACTGTTTCGGCGCGGGCCGCGAGAGCGGTACCAAATCGCTCCCCTAAAAAAAGAGACTTATTATTGCTAGGAAGGCGGAAATGACTTGGGTTTTTCCTGCTGTTGCGGTTGTGCTCGTTTGCACACGCGTGAACCAACCCAACAAACAAGCTTTATATTTAATTTTATGAGTCTAAAAGGGATGAACGTTTAACCCTTGAGTGATTATTCAAAGTATTGAGCATATGTATATATTAGACATATGACTAATTATTTATCTGGTTAATTTGGTTTGGCTGGTTAGGAGTGTCTGAAACCAAACCAAACCACCTAAACCAAACAAGTTAAAAACTTCAACCAAACCAAACCAAATTATTCAAATAGTACTGATTAAAACGATTACCATGATAATCATACCGTTTGAACACCCCTACTAATCCAACTAGACGTGTCACCGGAGTTGCCATCTTGATCCAGAATGAGCCGCACCTCTCACCAGGCACCGGAGCATACTCTTATTTTTCGTTAGCAAACGATTACGATATACACCAACCCAGACCGAAGCCTCCCTCTCGCTGATCATCTACTCATTTGCATATCACATATTTTCATTCACAAATCTCACGATTTGCAGGGCATTCACCATTATTATTTGTAATTAGTATGAATTTGGGACTTCAGGAGCCTTTACATTCTATAAAGAAGGTTAATATAAAATATTATTAACAATAAGAAAGTAGTATTATACATGGCTCGTACTCAAATAATATGTTCTGTTGATTTCAGAATAATTTTATTTACATGGCTGATTTTATTAGGATAGAAAATAAGATAATTAATAAAAACATATTAAATGCAAGAACAATATGATAACATTAAACTAATGATCCATTTAAGAATGATTTACTTAAAAACTTTTAAACAAATGAGCCATGCAAACAATCCCTCAACCACGGTTTAGAAAGGCCCATTAATGAAAATAAAAATGAAGTGAAATTGGAAAATTATTCATTATTAGAAAAAGAAATTGGAAATTGGACTTTAATTCAGGTATTACTATTATATATAAATTAAAATTATAAAAGGGCACAAATTGGACAACTGTTTGGATCCTATGAATCTGAACAACGTTATTGTCACAATATTTGTGACCGTATATATATATATATATATAAATAAAAGTCGTATTCATTAATAAGAAGGTAAAAAATAAACAGTTAAATATATATATATATATATATATATATGTCATGATCAAGAAAGCAAGCAATCCCACTATGAATGCCAATCACTTTTCAACTCGTATTTCGATCCTTGGACTAGAATTTAATTACGATAGAGTTGAAATGTTTGGAATCTCAATGTATATTTCCATGTCTAATAAATTTGATTGAACCCTTTTGCATGCAAATAACTAACTATGAATATGCAGATCATCAACATGAAAAAGTGACTGGTATATCAGACTTGAATCGGACTATCTGGCTACGACTAGAAGTCTCGAAAGTCCCGCTGGCTCTCTCTCTCATCAGATTGGATTAGGGTTAAACCACTTGGAGAAGTACTATAAATACTTCTCATACTCCCCTATTATCTGCATTTCTCCGAAGTATAGTGAAGCTACCTCTTTCCTGCCCGCGGACTAGCTAACAATCTAACACACATCGTGTTAGTGAACCATGTAAATCCATGTTGCGTGTTCGTTCTTGTTTTCTTTTTCTTGCTTTATCGAATCTTTCAATTTCCCGGTCCGTAGAGAAACAGTCGTGACAATATATAATGAACATGCAAAGATCACATTTTTTTTATTATAAAAACATTCAGAGATCATATATACTTTGTAATGTGTGGACTTTGTCCTAATAAACTACTTTTCAAACAATCGAAAAGACTACGGAAAGCCACTCATATATGATTGAAGTTTTCCTATGCATCAGACACCATCTGCTTGACAATGGGCCGGATTACCGAAATTCAAATCTAAAACGTCTCGATCACTAAAGACTCTGATGCCATGTCAAGAGTATAGGACTAGTAACTAGTAAGTAAGTATAACATGATCATCTTTTCCTATTTGAACTTTGACTTAGTTCGTCACGTACGTGTGAAAAATTGACCATGCAGTTGGTAATAGTACTCCAATAATTCAAGCCATGAGCTCAGATCATAATTCATAGCTATCACTCCATCGCTTTCTGTAGTCAAAATGTTGACTACCATTGATGCAAATTAAGTCAAATGTCACTCCTTAATTACTATATATATTCTCCTCGTCTGTCGTAAAAAATAATTGTGGCCGGCCTACGTACATGGCTTACCTACCCTTCATTAAACTTACACATTTTAAATTCGTATACTAATTAATTATGTTGCACATCATATATAAATAAATGGGTCTGCTGATCGAATTTGAGGAAACGGCTGTTTGTTTCTACTAATTATATATACTTATGAAATACAAAATGGATGTAATGAAATTTCATAAAATAAGGGCACTTTTATGGCATATCTGAATGTATGCATGCACCTATTGTCCATTAAAAAACTGCATTACTGCACTTTAGAGGATACAAAATATGGCAATCTAGCTAACTTAGCTTGGTGATGTATGTTACAACGATAACACGAATAATTATACTTATTGCGAGTTAAAAAAAATTGTTTATAAGAGTATTCTACATATAGCTAGGGTTTGTAGGAATCAACTATGGGCGTTGCATGGTACAACGATAATACACATAATTATAATTGTTGCGAGATAAAAAGAAAACGATTCTTAAGAAAGAGTCTGTCACGTCCGTAGTAATCGAACTTTGAAACTTCATTCTTTCAATGAGTGTCATCCATCTACCTTGCTAAGCATCTCTCACACGATTACTTTATGTCTTTCTTAAAGTTCGTAACACTAATTTTTCAGCGATATTCACACACACAATCTTAAAGCGAATATGGGTAAATAAAATGAAATATTGTAGTTGTAAGTTCGTCATCCCCAGCAATCAAGAACATAAGAAATGGGATTTTATAAGAAAAGAGTGAAGACAAACAAGTCCAAGAGGAGGAGGTTTACAAGTTGCAACGAAAGAGGTAGGGGAAGAGTATGTCGTTATCTTCATGACAGTGATCACATAACCAGTTCATATATACTAATTATATATACACACACAGAAACACAACTGGCCATCGTTATTGACCTTTGAAAATAATGGAGAGATCTTTGACACCCACAATTTTGGGAACAATTTCAACCATGTGCCCATCCTAGCTCCATCATTTCTCTCTTTTGTCACCTTCTAATTTTTTTTTTCAAACAGTGTTTTTTGTCCAAAATAATTACAATTAAATGGAAATGGAAATGGAAGATAAACCGTATAAGATGAGCATAGTTACATAAAAAAAATTTGGTGTTTTTATGAGTTAACATTAAGATAAAACGAAACCAAACTCTCGAATCTACAACTCTTAATGAGGATTTTGTACCCATTTTTTTTTAAATATGGAGAATCTTGGCTAGCTACTGATTTCTTCAACGACTCGCGCCACCGCTTGAGCTACTTCATATAATCATTTAGATATGTTATGTCGTCCTCGAGTGTCTCAATAATTACATTATTCTCTGTAAAACTTAATGTCTTTCTGAGACCTCATTAGATAAACTCTTATGCTTTTTTTTAATGTTTGATCCACTTTTTTGACTTGACACAACTATTCCCATAAGTACCTCGTGTGGTAGTATCTAGTAAAGACCATGCTTCGGTTATGACGTTATAGCGAAAGATATAACTTGAAAGAACGCACCATAAAGCCGAGACTTCACGTAAGATTTGTATAAGTGAACTAAAGAGCAAAATCGAAAATTTCCCCCGTACTCGCCTCATATGACTAATCCAAAATGTGTTCTTTATTCCATATGAATCGTTCCCAAATTTGGATGGATTTTTTGACACGAAAACTAGGGACATTTTTACTTGTACGCGGTGTTTAAAGAAAATCATAATATATAGAGATAGGTATATGACTGTATGAGTGTGCTAATTTGACCGATGAACACCCAACGCCCACCACCCAAATTATACAACGTAATAATATGATAATTAATAATATGCAATGAGTATCTTTTTTTTTTTTAATTTCTTGATTATTATTTATTTCTCCTAGTCTTTGTCCTGTGACTCCTGGTGGTCTATATAACGCCAAATTCCTGCTCTTTCGCCATTGTCGCCGAGGGTGAGAGAAACTAAGCAAAACCCACTCTTCACTCTCCGTCCCACCTTCCTTGTTCTCACTTCTCCACAAAAAAAATGGCCGTTACAATGGAGTCCGCCGGCGCCGGCGCAGCCACAAATGAGATTCATAACGGCCACAACAACAACAAGTTGGCCGATTTCGACCCTCCCGCCAAACCCAAACGTAACAAGTACGCCTTCGCCTGTGCAATTCTCGCTTCCATGACCTCCATCTTGCTCGGCTATGGTCAGTCCACTTCCTCTGTCTCTACTATACGTTTTATTTTATTTTTTTACGAATCGGAGCGACATAGAGCTGAGTCTCGATGTAACTGGCATCCAATTTTTTTTATTTATAAAATGTTACCAAAGTGGACACATGAATCGAGAGATGTGAATTGTGGATTTAATTTTGGATTTTGGGGTGTTATGTTTTGTAGATATTGGAGTGATGAGCGGGGCGGCGATCTTCATCAAGGACCAATTCAAGATCTCGGACACTCAAGTCGAGGTGCTGGTCGGAATGCTCAACATTTATTCCTTGGTCGGATCGGCCGCCGCCGGGAGGACCTCCGACTGGATTGGACGCCGGTACACCATCGTCGTCGCCGGAGCCATCTTCTTCGTCGGAGCTCTGCTCATGGGATTCGCCCCCAACTACGCGTTCCTCATGGTCGGCCGGTTCGTCGCCGGCGTCGGCGTCGGATACGCCCTCATGATCGCCCCTGTCTATACCGCCGAAGTCTCCCCTGCTTCTTCCCGCGGCTTCCTCACCTCTTTCCCTGAAGTAAGTAGCACACCAATTTTCTCCGGTAAATTTGAATTAATTAGAAAAAAAATGTTGAAATCTTATTAACTAATACAATTTCTAATTTTGCTACGAATTTATAACTTCAACCTAATTAAGAAGTTGATTTTATCTATCGATTTGTTACGAGTTTATAACTTCTCCTGGCTTCAATCTAGCTCCGCCACTAATTTTGGGTACACAATTTCCTTTTCCAGGTGTTCATCAACGCCGGAATTCTACTCGGCTACGTCTCCAACTACGCCTTCTCCAAGTGCCCGGACAACATCGGATGGAGGCTGATGCTCGGCGTCGGCGCAATCCCATCCGTCTTCCTCGCCGTCGGCGTCCTCGCGATGCCGGAATCCCCTCGTTGGCTGGTGATGCAGGGCCGACTCGGCGACGCCAAGAAGGTCCTCGACCGGACCTCCGATTCCCCTGAAGAATCCCAATTGCGACTCGCCGACATCAAAGAAGCCGCCGGGATCCCCGAGGAATGCAACGACGACGTCGTCAAGGTCGAAAAGAAATCCCACGGCGAGGGCGTCTGGAAGGAGCTCCTCCTCCGCCCCACCCCCACCGTCCGCCACATCCTGATCTGCGCCGTCGGGATCCACTTCTTCCAGCAAGCCTCCGGCATCGACGCCGTCGTGCTCTACAGCCCGAGGATCTTCGAAAAGGCCGGAATCACCTCGTCGGACAAGAAGCTCCTCGCCACCATCGCCGTCGGGTTCACGAAAACCGTCTTCATCCTCGTCGCCACTTTCCTCCTCGACCGGGTCGGGCGGCGGCCGCTGCTGCTCAGCAGCGTCGCCGGGATGGTGGTTTCCCTGGTAACCCTAGGGTTGAGCCTGGAAGTAATCGACCACACGGCCCATACGGTGGATTGGGCCGTGGGCCTGTGCATCTCCATGGTCCTGGCCTACGTGGCGTTTTTCTCGATCGGGATGGGCCCGATTACTTGGGTCTACAGCTCGGAGATTTTCCCGCTCCGGCTGCGGGCCCAAGGGACGAGCATGGGGGTGGCGGTCAACAGGGTGGTCAGCGGGGTGATTTCGACCACGTTTATTTCGATGTACAAAGGGATGACGATCAGCGGCGCCTTCTTCTTGTTCGCCGGAATCGCCGCCGTGGCGTTTGTGTTCTTCTTCCTGTGTTATCCGGAGACGCAAGGGAGGACGTTGGAGGATATGCAGATTCTTTTCGGGAGTTTTATTGGGTGGAGGGCTTTGAAGCTTGAGAGGTTGAGGGAAAGGGAGGAGAAAAATGGGAGGGAAGTGGAATTGTTAGATAGTAAGAAGTAAAAGGGAGGGGAAGGAAGAGTATTTAGGAGAGGTGATATAATGGTGGTGGTTAATGTGTGGCATTTTGCAAAAAATATAAGTAATAAAAAAAAATGTCACATGATAATTTACTATATGTATATGTAGTTGGGTTTTCCTTGTTGTTGTTGTGTGTTTTGGTGAAAACGAGAAGTGAAATGTGGAAAATGTGTTGTCACATAGACACTTCGGTACGCGAGTTGAAATAGAATTCGGTTAATACAAACAAGCTTGAGTCTGTGGAAGAGAGTTTCGAAAGTGAATTTTATGTTAATTGTGTTACATGTCATCTCAAAGGAATATAAGTTCATGGGGTTTGAATGATGGACTTGCACAGATCTATCTTTGTCATGTGTTTTAATGGGTACTATCACTGGTCTTCAACCCGAAAAATACCACATTGGAATCTTTTTAAATAATACTTAACAATACAAGCCTTACCATATCACCCCAAACATCAAAACAATCCCATCCAAACAAGTAGTATTAACCCCCTATACTTTGGATGGGGAGCTTATAGACAAATTGTGTGATTAGAGAAATGAGTGTTTCTGGCATTGACAGCTTGGCTAGCTGTTGGAGAAGGACACATGCATGTCTTCTTATATATGCAGATGGGATTTGTCGTCACTCTGGCTGCCAACTTGTGGGTTAAGTAATCATATAAGAATAGTCTTTGTTTAGGTTTTTTATAAGTAGAGATGGGGAGTTGTCAATTGTGATCGATCTGGCTGGCACCAGCTTCTCGGATCTTATTGATGGAGTGGTTGTGGTTGGCTTGGTAGGTGGATCTGACAGATTCATGGATTCTACCCACACAGACCAGTAAAGGGACGAATTGTTTGTTTCCGAGTATATCTACAATTACTAAGGGAAATTTTGTAGTGATTTTAAGCAATTTTTTTAGCTTGAAATCGGTATTTTGTTAATTATTCTTGGATTTCATATTATAAAAAGTACTAATATAACGAAATGATCCACAATAGAAAATAAATTAATAAAACGAGATAATCTCAATAAGTTGGCCTAGTGACAATGTGGAGATGAGAACATTTGTTATACTATAGGTTCGAACATTGAAATCAACAACAAAAGAAAAAAGATAAATATAAATAATTAAGGACACATTGTCCTGGTGATATATTTGTAACAAGCACGTAATGCACAATTTATGTACTTAAAATAAGGGGCTTGCTAATTGTCGCCCTAAATTTTACTACTATCGCCCTAACTTAGAAAGTATAATTACATTTTTATCCTTTTATTTTTTTTAAACTTTTGGTTCAACAAACACATAATTTCCCTTTTCGGAAGAATAGCCAACTTCCAATCCTTTTCGGGCTCCGGCGGTGGAGGTGGTTTGGCGGCGACAGTGGTGTTTTCTTCGATGGGAGCTGTTGTTTCCCAAATCTCAAATTGGCGGGAGGGCGATTGTCGAGATGGAGGATGTTCCAACACCCAGAATCGGGGGAATTAAACCTGGGTTGTAAAGGATCGCTTTATTTATGATTTGGCGGGGGAGATGCATTTGACGGCGATGCGGCGCTCATGCAGAGCTTGGATCTGCTCTGCTCTGCTCTGGCTCTGACTCTGACTCTGACTCGTCGGAACTGGGATTAAATCACATTACCGTGAATCAACGGGGGCAGAGAGATGAAGGAAAAATCAAGGGATCCCTTTATTTATATTTTGGCGGCGGAGATGTGATTGACGACAATGTGACGTTCATATAGAGGATAGAACTGGAGAAATGTCCGAGTAGTCGCAACGCGCAATGGAGGAGAGGAGAGGGTTGGGAGTTGGGACCTGACGAAAGAAGATTAGGGATTGTTTTTTTTTTCGAAATGAAGATCAGGGATTGTTTGTTTTGGTAATTTTGTATTTGGTTCTTGAAGGTTATTTAAGTAATTTTATACTTTTAAGTTAGGGCGATAAAATAAATTAGGGCGAGATTTAGCCATTCAGTAAAATAACTCATATTTTTTTTATATAAGAGTGGCATAGATTTCACGAATTCATAGCGAAAGCCACATAAATTTGCATGAAATCTCAGCTGGTTTTGATACATCTATAACATTAGAATTACACGTTACCAATATCATAAAAATTATATATATAAACAGAAAAAAACAATGAAATAGTGTGTAAATTACAGAGTAGATAACCTAATTTCCGAGCACCTCATAATAGTTGCCTGCAGCACAAGGAAAGGGAATACAAATGGTGGATTTCCATTAGTAGAACAGGGTGGAAGAAACTGCATCTATTACAGAAAAGCTTAACCAAAATCACAATGATCTACCAGTAGGTTTACATACAATACAAGACCTTTTTTTTTTTGCCACTCAAGTTATTTTCTACAAATTGCCTCCCATCTCCTCTCAAGATGGTAATATATATACTAACAACTGCCCTATTTCACAGCCTACTACCCCAAAAAAATAAATTAGAAACAAAAATAGAAAAAGCCTAAAGAGAAAACATGTACATTATAAGACAGTGGGACGTCTCCTAATTGAGGGATGAATCATTTCTCGATTCCCTGCTGCAGATACTGTATCAAGTCGTAGCCGGCTGTGGTCCATTTGTTGTAGGCATCTGTGCAAACATGGATCATGAAATTCGCAGCTTCTCGCTCGGTCATCTCCGGATGGAATCTCTTACGGAGATTCCCAATTGGGTCTCCCCGACTGAAGCAAGGCAACCCGCTCTCGAGCATCATCAGTACCGTATTGATGATCCCGTCCATGTATCTACGAGCTGCTAGGTATCCTTTCACGCACAAGCTGCAGAGTAGAGGTGCACCCAGAAGAAATGGACAATGAGAACACCGGAAAGCAGTGTTCAGTTAGTGGGAAAGCATTAACCGCGACTGCATAGCCATTACCTTACGAATTGGTTCCAGGTCTCGCTCTTCATAACACCTGACGGATCCAGTAACTGAGTCATCTCGTGGCTCAGTTTGAAATGAGCACTCTCGAACCGCATGTTTCCACCAGGGGAAGTTTCCAATATGAAGCCAAAATCAATGTGCACTAGTCTCCCGTCGCTGCAGTGACACAAGCAATTAGTGAACTTTGACATACATGTGCCAGTTTATCTATGGGTCTTTTGGAAAGCTATCCAAGTTGACAATCTATCTATTTTAAAAGCTACGTATTCTTCACAATCAAGCTTACCTAATCTGACAAGCTATCTATTTTCAAAGGTTACGTGTTCTTCACAATCAGCCAATTTTGACTATACACAATCAAAACGGCCTCATAATCATTTGCCTCTGCCTTTATTCAATTCAATAGTGTTTACATCGTAAAATATGAGCAACCATCAAAAGTATATTTCAAACGTTCAAAAGCCATCACTTGGAAATGTTGAATATAGAGTTTTGACGCCTACGGCACCAGTTGGATTTAGAACTTAGACTCCGGCTGGCTAATTTTCTTTCAAAGTAGGATAGAGGGGAGAGAAAAACCAGGAAAGATAAGAACGGGTTCACAACTTCACATACCTATCGAAAAGCAAGTTCCCATTGTGTCTATCCTTTGGTTGAAGTAGAAGGCTGGCAACTGCATAACCAGCACTGCTGATAATGAAGTTTTCACGTGCGGTTTCAAAACTAGGAGATCCAACTGGGCCAAAGTCTTGCTGAAAGATCTCATACAAACCACCATCAGTCGTTTCACCCATCTGACTTCGACTCCGTGAGTTAGGCACAACCTGTACGATCCAAAAAAGACTTTATTACCAAGGGCAAACAGCTCTCTGAGAAATGTACACTTCACTACGAGGGCATACAAAGAGGCACTTGATACCATCTTGTCTGGCATCTGAGGTAACGAAGTAAAGGAACTAATTGAAAGCTTACTCTGAAAGGATAATGCATGAAAATTCAGGAACCCACCTCGATTATACCTCTCTCTGGGCCAGTTGGCAAGACACCATAGGGAAACAAATAGAGATTAAGTCCAATTGCTCCATAGATGTCTCTAAGAAGCGCTATCACTTGAAGGGCAAGAACATCTTGTCTACAATCATCTCCAACCTATATAGAGAATATTGATCAAACTTCCACATCCAGAAGATTTTGTTCACGAGCCAGTCCATTATTGTCGTTTTAATGTTCCGCAGATTCGCAAAAGAGTTCAGGAGACATAAGAGGACTAGGCATGTCATGAGCCAGAAATGCAGAATGGGACATGATATATGCACCAGACAGACATCTGAGAAGTTACTTTATGGACCAGTCCAAGGCTTAATGAAGAGATAGATATTTGCATTTGAAACTAGATTGAACTGGATGTTTCACTCAATAGCACCAACAGGCCAACCACTTGAGGTACAATTACAATAGATGATATATTTTAGCTGACAATGATGATTCTAAGCGTACCTTGAAAATGCAAGCTTGAGGTTTAATATCGTTGGGGTCACCATCACGATCAACTACATCAAACGTCACCATAATTGGAACTTTTGCAGCCGATTGCAAGGGTATGCCACTATCAACCCGGATACCTCTGACAAACTTGCTAGGTGCAGTCGGTAAATAGAGATCGTCTCCTCGCATCTGAATTTTCTCCAACTCCCTGTCCCACCAACCATAGTGAATTTATAACAGCCAATCACAACACCAAAAAGAAAAGAGAGACATAATCAGCTAGCACTCGGTCAGAAAAGAAGCATACGTTCGGATACCAGCCCGACGCTCATCCTTGGGAAGTGGAAGGAGGACACCAGAAATTGATGTAACTTCATCAAAAAAATCAAATTCCCTTTGAAAGATGTCACGGGCCTTATCATTGAAACCATCAATGATATGCTCTCGAACAACCGGCAAAATTTCTTGGAAGGAATTATTCTGAAATATCAGTAAGCACGTATATGATTATCCTCCATGCAACATCCCAGAGAAGGGGATTATAGAACACTGAGTGCTGTTGATTAGCAAGTATTTGGGTATATTCTAACAAGTATTAGTATAGCTAAAACTGAAAAGGGCAGAACCTTAATAACAGCAGCAGGATCTTTTACTGCTCCTTCTGGTTCACACATCTCACCCTGTCATGAATAAAACAATTCACTCCTTAAAATAAGAGAATATATGTACAGAATTACTATCAAAAGAAATACTTCTGCAAGAAAAAAAAGGGAGCGGCGATACTAAAAACTCCAAAAAGTATATCATGCCACATTAACCTGTAATTGCCAAATCAGAATATGGGCAAATATATCACTTCGTTGAGCAGCTCTAAGCAAATATCCTTCAACTAGCTTCTGCAATATGATTCGAGCACGTTAGAAAATGTTAGAATGTTGATTTAATTGAAACAGAAGTTTCTGACGCAAACATACACATACAACTGGAGTGTTGTAGCTTAGCACTTTCGAGGTTACTATTTAGCATACTCAAGCATTGAGCCCTTAACACAACTCCAGTCAAACCCTTAACCAATCTCCAGTCCCCATATACTTAGACTAGCAGAACCCTAGGTCCACCAACAAGCTTCGAGCATTTACCTTAACATGCTGCTAAGTATTATAGAAACAAAAACATAAAACAAAGAGATCAACTTGCTCACAGATAACTCACCCCGTCATCATAGCGCAGAGACTGAACTAATTGTGGCATGAAAAAGGTCACACGCTCAGGAGGATAAGACTCCATAACTCTCAGAACATATGCCATTACACGGGGATGGCCTTTGTATGAAGGAGTCAGGAACTCAAGTGCTTGTGTTATTGAACAAGCAGCCCAGTGCGGTAATTGTTGCAAAAGTACCGAGTCTTCATCAACGGCTTTTGGGGTAACAAAGTAAGGCAATGCCTCTGGTATGGTACGCACATCCAAAATATGTGACTGCAAATAAAACGCCAGTATAAGCAAAAACATAAAGCGAGTAGGATAAAAATGATGGAGAACACAACTACAATTAAACAGTCATTCCAGCTAAGTTCACTGCAGCAGGAATATAGTCCATGCACATTGCTTTCAGAACACATCTTAGCATAACAGTATCTGATATGAGACAGAATATTGATTAAAACACCTTCATTCATAATTTCTAACCACATCTCAAACACACCTGGACCAGCTGAGTAACTTCAGCCTTCAAAGTAGCATTTGCAGGGAACCTTGATGCCATGCATAGGGCAATGCGGGGATCCACAGAGAAAGCAGTCCTTGCATATTCAACCCATTTATCTGAGCTGATTTTAGGACGAGAGGCACTTTCCCTTATAAAAAAAAGAACACTTTTAAGTTTATCACAGCAGAATTACCTATAACCAGGGAAAATAATATAAGACAAATATATTTGCGATTATTTCTACTGCTCATAATTACTTTGTGTTAGTAGGTTGCGCCCACACTTCAAGTCGATCAGCCTCATGCTGACATAACATCAAAAGCAACTGTTTCCGCTTTTCCCGTCCAATGGCATAACTCTCCATATGACCCCACACAGGGTGATGTTCATCATTCTGCAGTTAATTGATTTTGTCAACAAAATCGAATTTTCGTTACGGAAAGAAAATAAATGAACCAGAAGGGTGACTATGGAGAATGGAAGACTATAATTGTTTTAGAAGGAAGAATCAGGCGACAAGACCATCTATTTCCGATTAGCTATAACTCTTACCATATCAACCAACGAACTTCCGTTCTCGGTTCCCGGACCCTTAGAATCAGATTGAGTAGCATCACCTCGGTCATTGGACAGATAGTGAACGAATATAGATACAGATTGAGCCTCGCTCTGAGCGAAATTCATATACTTCAACTCAAACCACTCGGGTTCAAAAGCAAACCAACCCAAACAGGCCCTGCGCAAAGAAAAAGCTAAATATAAATTTTCTAGTAGCATAATAATCTCTCTAATATTGGAAGTCGCATCAATCAGATACCAAGGATTTTGTCCCATTAAGAAAAGAAAGAGTGAGTTCTGCTAACCAAGAGGTATGCTCAGTTGTAATACCTTAAACCCAGAGATTATATTGAGAGGAAAGGACACATACATAGACCAGTTACAACCTTTTAGGAACTACAAAATGGATATAGCATGCCCCAAATGGAACATTAGGAGTACAGTGAATACAAGACTCATTAAATTCCCAATGCAATATTGATATCAGTCATCAGATCAACCAATGATCATCTCGGGTTACGGAGGAATGCCAGAAACATTTTATATATGTATATATATACTCCTACCTCAAAGACGTTCATAAACATGAACCAAAATCTAAGCATATCAACATTATTAGACAACCGAAACCATCATAAGCAACCTAGTGCTGATAATTGTCGCTTCTGGTAATTTTTCATGAATCCATCATAAAGAAGGATCATCCACAACAAGAACAGATAATTCAGAGATATGAACTGTAGAACATTGAGCTTTCTGTGAGTAGATTGGTAAATTTTATTATTTATAATACCAGCAACATTTTCTTCAAGTCAAAATACTTATGGTAGGCTTTGAAGACTAACTATTAGGCAACAGAATGTAATTGAGGAAGTAGGTCCACTAAATGGCCAATTCTACAAAGTATCCAAATCACCCAGAGATAAGTTCATTTCAGTAAGCATCACACTCCAGAACCCGCCAACAGAGCCAACTCATAAAATAGCACCACCACTCACAATGTAAAATAACAAAAGTTAAGATCATGGAAACACAATCACAGTTCTCCATCTCCAACAAAAATAAGCTACATTTGGCCCTCTTGAAAAACTATCCTATTATCTTTTGGCTGCAGTTCAGCGCAAAGTTTTTTCACTTCGAAGAGTAGAAGAGTGAGAAAGCAAGCACAAGTAGTCAGTGAAGAAATAAGACGGAAAACGGGCAAGAATTCTTGTAGAATGCAGTTATAATCACCTATAAATCCGATCTTCCAGAAGCTGAAGTCCTGTCTTATAATTCTGAAGGTTTCCCTGAGAATGACACGAGCTAAATTTCAGCCCAAGGAGCATGACAGTGAAAAAGGTACCAGTAGCAGCAGGATGGCGTGAAAAGTTCCAGGGCAACTTCATTGTCCCTTGCAATAGCCTGCCTAAGAGCAAGAGTTGCTCGCCACTGTTATGCCGCACTACCTATACAAATAAAAAGCAGCAGAACAAATCAATCGTGTCTAATTTGGTAGCATGCAACATGTATATTGCGAATGACGAGAATATATAGGTTCTCATTGTTTGATCCAAAACAGACAATTGAGACACTTTGGCCGATAATAAATCTGCGCTATTTTTTTCAATAAAATACTTCACACACATGCAATTGCATGGAGACAAGTATACATTTTGGTTTACTGTTTTGTATATGAGAACTATAATCTAAATGTCAAATGACCAAAATCATGACCTCCGAAACTTAATCTATACACAGGGATGTATGAGGCAGTATAAAAGCATAAAAGCATAAAACACAAGTATAGAAGAGATTCATTCCTCCATGGAGGAGAGCAAACCTATGGAACAAGTTACTTCCAAACAATAACCTTAGGGATCAATGGTACCTTACTTTTGAGAAAAAGAATCCAACTAAGTTACCATTACCCTGCAACTTTTAACTTCCCACACTAGCTCAAACACACCTCAGAGACTTATATTTTGGGTTTTCACCCAACTGGGCAAGGACAAATTAAATGCAGCCTGACAGAGGGAGGCTAAATAATGTCCCAAGGTTTGAGGGTCTATGTTATGAACAATTTGAAAGACCAAGGTATTTGTTTGGATACAGAACAGTAAGGTTAAACTTCTGTGTACCCTCATATGGAAGACAAAGGTTCTCATTTTCTCTTCCAATCCACTCTACTGTGAGGAGAGAGGAGAAAGGGCCTCGAGGATACGACATTCGTCAACGCCAGACCATATTTCCAAAACAAGGAAGCAAAACAATTGGCATGTAGATAAGAATAATGAGATTCCTGACCTCGAAGCGATCGATGAAAAATCCAAGCCAAATTCTATGAGCAAGGATTTGTTCTACAGGATTAACTTCAGGCTGTGGCTCTGGTTCCCCAGGGGCAAGATGAGGTCTTAGTTTTGCAGCAGGGCCAGAATACTTGACATCCAATGCAAATAGGCCTCTTTTTGTGTCAATACTCCATAACCAGGCATCCACAAGTTCAGCAAGAACAAGAGAACCAAGTTGGGGGGCTGCAGAAACCAACCAAGTCCATATAAACACCCCAGTCTCCATTGCATCGGGAGTAGAAATATACGCTGGACACCAACAAAGAAGACGTAGCAATTGTGCAAAGCCTTCAACACTGAATCTTGAATCAGAAGTCTGATAAGCAAAGGGAACAATGGAACAAGATCTAATCAAGAGGTTGGAATTATTTATTGATGCCACTGTGTAAATCACTAGAATGGGTTCTTTACCAGATTGGATAGAAGTAATGCAGTTGCCTGAGAACAAATATCACGGAACTGTGATTTGTCCACACCCCCACCTTTCTCTGCAGTACTAACAAATTGTTGAAGTAGATGCACAAACTTATTAAGTAGCATCTCATTGAAAGAATCATCCTCAGTCTGAGGAGGTTGAGAAAATGCTCCAGTTATCAACCTTTGGAGGCCACCACCAAAAGTAGTTGGTGTACTACCAGCTTGGAAACCACCAATGCTGCTATATAACCTTCTCATACCAGCAATTTCCCCAGCATGGTTACTCTTCACTGTTGCACTGACAATGCCAGTGCTGAGCACCTCAAAGTTAAAGGCTTCTGTCAATGTCAAGTTTGCTCCTGACGCAGCAGCAGCTGCAGCCATGACGGCTGGAACATTTGCAGTACGTATTCCAGCCCAATCATTCTTGCCAGTTCCAATACGTATCTCAGTGAGCAAAGATACCACATCCGTAGTTTGCTGTGCCTTCTGCCAGGTGTTTGCCTTGCATAGCTTTTCCTGAGGTATTAAGTCGAATGGCAAGAAATCATTTACCAATCAGGAAAAAAGGAAAAACTCTATACGGAATATACCATACAGTAATTGTCCACAGAAAATAGGATAACCAGGAAAATATCTGGAAAGCAGTACTAGTTAGTAGTCCCCAACTCTAATGCCACAAGGAGGCATGCTTTCTAAAAAGTGAAAAGGGCAACTTTATACAAGCAAATCACCAAACGGGAGATGCTATAATGCTCACCCAAGGAGGAGGAGTTGGGGTATGGAATGGGATGGGATGGGGGGAGTTCAAAGCATGAAGGAAGTAGAGAAAGCAGAGATCTAACTCATTCATCAAACAATCATGGAATCCCGTTTTCAACTAATGTCAAGCGTATACTTCCCCTCTCAGTCTAATCATGCAGTCTTTCACATATGGATTAAGGATGATTGGTATCAGAGCATCGTCAGTTATATGTTTAACACTTTCTAACTCTCTCTTTAATACGATGGTTTCTAATGAAATCCAACTATTTCAACAAAGAGTTGAATGGAAAATAAATCAATCATCATGTGGATACAGCATATATCTTAGAATGTCTTAAACAAAAACATTGCAAGAAGTTCATCAGAAGAAAGAAAGTAACGACTAGAGATCGGTCGTAGCAATAAACAATACTGTTAACAGCTTCTGAGACACTTCTAAACAAACTTGTAAATAAACTTTCAATAATTTAAGTGCGTAGAACCACCTGAAGAAGACCTTGGCTAGTACATGGAGCATATGAAACCGACATACAGATCCACTCCTTGAGGATTTTCTGATACAATGCACGGACAGTTGCTACCCAAGAAGGATCATTAACAACGGTGGAAGTAGAGTCATTGTGAACAGAAAATAATAAGGAGTCCAAACAAGATGAGTTCCATAAGATCTGCACAAATAAAGCCCGGCGTGGTTTAAACAATAATGTATTATTGAATCAGAAGGATGCAAAATGAAAAAATTGAATAACACTACAATAATCAACATAACTTTACCTGAGGAAACTTATCACGGAGCTGAGTCAACAAGTTCACAGCAATATCACGGATGTGGTCTTCTCTCTGTGACATGCTTTTTATCAGAAAACATCCATGGGCGAAAAGAGTGGATTCTCTGATTCCTGCTTCCTTGCCAGTGTCAGTAATCCGATCTTCCTGAACCCAAAACAAAAGCCCAGAGAATTCTGAGTGAGAAAGAGGAAAAGGGTAACAACTACCATGAGACAAAGAAGAAAATACATTTCAGTGCTACGACAATACACATTACAGTATAAGAATCAAGGATAACTTTATTATTACACAAATGAACAAAAAAAAAAAATTTGCAAAACCAGGTTAAATTGCATTTTAACAGAATGTAAAAGAAGAGGTAGATTGCATCGAGAAAACGCAAAGATAGCTTTTTCGTTTCTGAGAGAATGCAAAGACAATTGTTGAGCAGCAATTAGTTATTTCTTCTATTTTTATAGATGGTTGTTGCCTTGTTGGCCCCTATATTCAAACCTAGGGTGTGGTGAACACCTTGGGAGTTCATTGTTTTTTCTATGCAATCATGGAATGCAGTTTAGTGGATATGAAGAATACCAGCCACCCAACAGCTGCTTCAAATGCTCTGTGGACTAGGGCTGTCAAGCATTGGCAGACAGCAGGCATTAAATTTGGTGTTTTCAGGTATTCAAATACACAGCTGAAAGCACTTCTAGAAGCAGTCAAACTGGAATCTCCATTGAGAATGCCACCATTGCTGCTGAAACGAATTATCTCCAAAAATGCTACAGCCAGAAGATACGTCGCTTTCACGCCTGGAAAAGAGACATCAAAACCATTAACAAAAAAAAAAATATTATTCACTAACACCCTAAGCGACCAATCTACTGTTGGTTATGGAAAAGAAGTGCAGAACTACAACCAACAGAAAGAACAAGTTGTTAAATTTCTCACCAGAAATCGTGCTCATTGCCGCAACTTCAACTCTGCCACCCAGTGCAGCAGACAAAGCTGATCGTTGGTTTAGAGCAGCTTTTTCATTGCCACTTCCTCGACGGCTTCCAGGATTGTGAAGGGCATTAAGTTCCAATTCGTCTTCAAGCCATTTAACAGAACTCACAACCTGTAGTTATGCATTTTCATGTGAAAATCTTCACTTGCACTAAGGAGAAGCCCTCAATTATAACAAGTGCAATTAGCATAAACCACAGCAGGTAGCCACTGCAATTCAATAAACAGTCTTAATAGTGGATTTATGTTTATCTATCCATATTTGCTTTGAGCTTGTCTTTGATAATTGCGACCAGCTTATCCAAAGGGAGCCTCCTCTTTACTTTTGTTTGCCACTCAAAAATGCCTCACATATTCACATGCATCACATATTCACATAGCACACTGAGGCATGACAACCCAGATTTTGGTAGATATAGCAAGAAATAGGACAAAACTGCATCCATAACACAAATTGAACCAAAGTCGCTGGTTCAAGTACATGCCACAGTGTGCACATGAGCTTTTTACCATCTGATCAATTCACAGACAAAATGTCGATGCAGAAAATACCTTTCATAGACACATCCAACAAAATATCAATATGCTTCACATTCAATTCCTGGACGCCGCAAAATAACAGTAAACATAATTCCAAAGCCAGATAAACAAATCAAACATGCCATAGTGAAGGCAACACAAGTATCTTACCACACAAATGAGCAAACAACATTGACCGACATGCAATTATCCAATTCATGCAAAAGAATTCAATGTTCTTACAAGAGGAGGAGTCCCTTGCGCAATCCGCTGGACTGCTGAACTCCACTGTGCACTCCACATGTATGGTCCAGCTACCGCTTGAAGAGCTATTGCACCATTGCTTCCCACGCTATTCAATGTAGTTGATGTAGACTTCGCCTGTTGTGGCGCTTTCAGAACCGGTGGTGCCAAGCCAAAAAGTGCAACATAGAACCACAAGTTGCGGAAGAGTTTTAAAAGTGAGGGTTCAACATTGACAGTTGGATCAAAGTCAGAACAGATTTCAGCAACAGCAGGAAGTAGAGGGCCCAAAAAATCTGCTCCACTCCTACAGCCAGCAAGAGGACAAAATAAGAAACCCTCCAGATATACTGAGGACAGATGCTACGTAAGATAGTAAGTGAAATCAAGCTACAACACAAAATTATAACTAGCCACCTTCCACTCTTGGATTCAGCTGCCAGCCCCACATCTGAGCACAAAGAAAGGAGACGATGACGGTAGTCTGAACGCAACTTTGGATTTTGAAGACCACTGGCTATCAAAAGAAATCCTGCAGGAAGAGTCTGGAGTGCAGATTGAAATAGTGAGTGGTCACTTCTGAGAAACCTTGAAAGTGAGCTGGACAATTAACAAGGCAATCCATAGCAGTACACATGAACAAGCCTACCTCAACACGCTCCGTATTTGCTTCAGCAGGCAAAGTTGTGCTTTCTGCAGATCCTACACTCGACAATTTAGCCAAGTAACTTCTTGTCATTAGGACAACTGTCTCGCGGTAGGACTTCTCAAAACCTAAACTTGCTATCCGGGATACAGCATCAAGAAGCTGCAGGTAAGCGAGAGAGGAGTCATAAGTCATGATGCCAAATTGAAGGACCAACAAGAAATAACTAACGGATGTATGGAGGATATAAAAGAAACACATAAGTACATAAACTTCTGTTACAGCGACAGACAATCTGGAAAGAAAGATTCCATACTCGAAGGCGCAATATGCCAGGAGTTAAAGCATCACCCTCTTCTAAGCTTTCAACAAAAAGTGGCAAAATCATGTCCACCACTTCAGACTTGTTAACATCAACGGTCAAATTAGCTAGCAAGCTAATGAGATTAAGCTGTACAGCTGGAACTCCCTGCTTCTCCTTCTCAACCTGAATTCAGCAAGAATTGTGAAGGAAGAGTCCTATCAAATTAAACTATATACAAGCATCAGTAGAGAGATGACTCAATTTGCACCCAAACCACATCTGTATCAGACCTCTTTTTCCATGTTTTGATGCAGCTAAATGAAGGTTGCATAAAGTATGCAGCAAAGCCACTGAAAGGTAGATATGCATGCGTAGATATGCCCATGACAAAGCAGACATGGTGGTTGGGAGGACTGATGACTGCCGATTTTGATTGTTACTCTTTCTTAACCATCATGGGCGATCCAAAGGAAGAACGAACAATGGCAGAGACCAAAAAAACTCTAAACATTGGAGTTAAGGGTAATTGATATCTGAGCAGTACTATGATCAATACAAAAATCTTGTCTCTTCAGCCACCACATCTTAGTTCAATTACAATGTGCTCCTAACTTTCCACATTCTACCACTTCTACCTTTGTCCTTCCAGTCCAAGTACCATATGTTCATGTATGCTCTCATTTCCAAATCTTTTGAACCAACTGAGGCTTTGTTAGTTTCACCTAACTCTTTAGTTCAAACAAACACATTCTGGTAAGTCTAAATATAAAGTATAAATATTCACGATGGTCCTACACATTACCAAAAACTAAAAGACGGAAATTTTCATTCTCCACTTTGCCCCCTTGAGATAAGAATACAATCTCAAATTATATCCATAATAGTAATTTCGAAAAAATAATTTATTTATATAAAGCTAAACAAATTATCACTAACCCCATCAATTACCTTTTCATTTAGATAATGTCATCAGTTACCTTTTTATTACTGAGTAAATCTTTCTACTTATCAACTTTAATTTTTTTTAAGTCCTTGCGAGACCCATTTTTTGCTGTCTTCTACTAAGTTTTTAAGTTTTAGTTCATAACGTATTAGAAAAAGGCCAAACGAACACACTCTAAAATAACTAGCATTGACCTGCAACCTACAAACAAAGAAAAGGGAACAGAAAGAGGGGGGGAAATGCACCATGGAGGTACATCTGTGCCCTCCACTATCAAAGACAAGCAAATGTAAGCTGACCTGCTCATCATAGTCATTCCGTTCACGTATACTTGTTGCCAATCCCAAAATAAAAGTATCAACAGGGGCTCGGTCCTTTGCCCATCCAGATTCAATTATCTGGCAACTTGTCTTCATCACACTCTCAAACATTGCTCCCTGACTGCCAGCCCAAGTATCAGCCTGGAAATTAAGATGGGGGAAATCACAAAAAGTAAATCAAATGCCTGCGAATGACAAGAATAATGACATGATAATAATAACTCAGGATGCTTACTTGTGCACATGCGGTCAACACAAGGGGTTTAAGACGAATAAGAAGAACTCGAAGTGGCTGACCACCCCTGCTTACAGCAATTTGCGCAATCCCAGCAAGCAATGAACTAAATAGCTCTTCACAAACTCTCAATTTCCGCCATACAGATAGCAAACATGCTTCAGCAGCATCTATTAGCAACGCAAGAGTTTCAAGAACCAATCTTTTGGAGGTTTTGCCATCAGCGTCAAGAGATGCAAGGCTCTTTATTTTCATTCTAGCTGCAGCTTGATAAACTGATAGCTTAGTGGTCACCCTAGATTTCAATAACTGCCCCTGAATGTTCCAGTCGCGCTTCCTTATCTAGCCACATAATGAGCTACACCACTTTAGTCTTCATAAGTCATATCAAGAATTGTATACATTGAGAACACTAACTAAAGCACTAAAGCAACCTCCAATTATCTATATGCACGAATAGCATAAATATTATTTCCCAAATGCATGCAGAATAAACTACAGGATTTGTAATACAAACCATTCTGATAAAATTGAACTAGCATGACGCTTAACATTTTACCAAGTTCTCATATAGTAACCAACCAGAAATCAAGTGGTCGACACATAAGTACTTTGCATGCATGTTGCTTTCTTTTCTTGTTTTCCTAAAATACTTCAAATAAGACAAACCCCTTCCTAGAATCTTCTAACACGCACGTAATAGTGAAAAAAAGAAACAGATGGTATGAACGTATATTGATTTTTTACCTTTAAAAAGGCCGACAGTGACTGCAGCTGCTTCTTAGCAATGAATCTTACTTGTTCCGAAAGCTTGTTGTCAAGCTTCACATGAGTCAATACATTGGCAATCAATTTGAACGCAATTTCATGCTTCTCCAATCCCTCCACACTCTCCTCCTCAAACAAAGCCGCTTGCTGCTTAAATAAACCCCCACCGCCATCATTGAACCCAAAGCTCATCCCCATTGAATCAAATCCACTCTTCCACATCAACCCACTCCCGTTCAGCAATGCTGATGTCGAAGACAAGCCACTTGATGAACCCCCAGACACCTGGCTTAAATCATTAGCTGGACTGGAAATGCCATTGTTACCATGATGATTGGCTTTGATTAAGGGGGAGCTCTGGCACGATGAAGCTCCTGAGTTACCACCGGCTTGCTCACCGGGCAACTGTGAAGCCACAATGACCTGATCAAGAAGAGTGGTCACCAGCTTCTCCCCATCAGAAGCCAGAATAGGCGGAAAATTCTGCGTCAAAGCCAGCAGAAAAGCTCTCGAAATTGCCAAACTCTCACTGGCATTGTGATTAACCGCATCCATAACGACTTCACCTAGAAATCCAGCAATCTCCTCACTAAAGTCCACGCACGTTTTCGCCGATTTCACCAAATGCGCTAAGAATTCAGCATAAAACGCCCCGATCGAGTCGACATTGAACGATTGCGGCCAGAAGGATTGCCGAAACGACGACGGAACTGCGCGGAGAAACTCGAGGACGATGGACTTGGGCCGGAGATCGATGGAAGGGTCGGAGGTGCGGAAAGATAGAAATCTGGCCACCGCGAGGACGGCATTGAGCTGGGAACGCGAAACCCTAGACGATCCGCCGACCAAAGCCTCCGGTTGCGAGCAACGGTTGCATAGCCACGTCAATTTATCCGCGAATTGCGTCGGGTTTTTGGCAATGAGCTCGCAGAGCTCCATCAACGGGTCCATTGCCTCTGGCATCTAAGGTCGGAAAACACAAATCGCCGCTACACAACAAGGGAGAGATTGTGAAACAAAGTTTCCACTCAAAATTCTCGAATTCTCTTCTGTGTGGCAATCCAAGTTCGCTGCGGGACCTCAGATTTCGAAAAAAGATGCCGAATGTGAAGCAGCAAAAGGAGGGAGGGAGTGGCGGCGGGGAACTAGGGTTTACAGGAACCGGGAAACGTGATCATCTTCGGCGGAGAAGAGAAGAAATGGAGAGGAGAAAGGGGTCGCTGTTGGTTCTGCATTTCTTCTCGTTGCTCTCGCCATTGTTTTTCGCTCTGGTTTCCTCTTTTCTCTTTCCTTAATTATTTTTTCTTTTTTTTTCTTTTTCGCTTTTTAATCCCTTCCTTCCTACTTCGCATTTCTCTCTCTCTAACCTCGACATACGGTCACCACCACTAGTAGGGTTGGAACTTGGAAGTTTGATACCGTTATTTAGGATATACCGAATACCATACGAAATTTGTCTATATTTGGTATTACCAAATATATGTATTATTTTTTGAGATTGGAATTGAGATTGAATTTCAATTGTAATTCGGTATTAGGGATTACGGGATTGGGATCGGGATCGGGATCGAGATCGGGATCGGAATCGGGATATACTGAAATAAAGATCAATACCGAAATATAAGCTAAAAAGTCCAAATTTTTCCTCGCTGCCCGGTGTGATGGGCGGAATCTAAAACAATGGAGCACCTATTTTCGGACTGCCCGATTGCAGAGGCCCTTTGGGCTCACTCAGGTTTGGAGCATCTGGGTCATGGTTTGCCTAGTCAAACCTTCCCTATTTTCCTTTTAAAAAAAATGTTTGCTTAGGATGATCCAACTTGATCAAATTATGGCTTTGGTGGCACTCCTGTGGCGTATTTGGAAATCTATGAACTGGGTCGCCTTTGATGGTAAGTAGTTTTTAGTTCCTCAGCTGATGCGTCAATACCACTAGCAACTCCACGAGTAGGTGTCCTTGCCAGAGGATAGGATAATCCGGGATCAACCGATGACGCAGCGTAGTATGGACTTGGTGGATACAACCTCTGTCGTCTGTATGTGGGATGGGGTTGTTCGTCCCGACTCACATCCAGCAGGAGGTCTAATCATAATGGATGGAGGCGGTGCGGTACTCTTGGCAAGAGGTGTGGTTTTTGAGAATATGATAGACCCTCTTGTGGTGGAGACTATGGTCTCCGGGAAGCGATTAAGTGGTGTCAGGCTCTCGGCATCCATCAAGTTCGTTTTGAAGGTGACGCGAAAGTGCTTATTGATAAGGTTAATACCAAAGATGCGCAGGATAGTCGTTTCGGAGCTATTATCCAGGAGATCCTCCATTTGATGGCGCAGTATAGTGGCTTTAGTATTCGATTCGTTGGCCGGAATAGCAATGGGGTAGCCCACTTAGTGGATAGGAAGGCCCTTTCTTTGTCTCCGACTATGTGTCGATTGTATGATTTTCATGCCTAGGTTGGTTCCAGGGTGTTATTCGATATCTTCTTATCAATTAATAGAATTATATCTTTTATTAAAAAAACTAGTGTGTGTTTTATCCTCTCAACTAGATTCTCTCATTCACTACTATATGACCCTCAACAACCAAGAGTGTAATTTAATTATATATAGACCATTTCATCTTTGTTTCACAACTCAAAAGTCCCTATCCAACTCAATTTTGAATTTCCAATTTAAGTCACTCTCGTCTCTCGCCTAATAACTTGTTATTTTCATAACATCAAAAAGCACACCCTAGTATTAGTCGTCTCTCAACCTTCAATTCGTCATATTAAAGATTACCAATGACAAGAACTTGAGATGTCACCTCTCCTTCATTCTCCTTATCCATATCCTAGCTCTAAGCAAACTCAAGACTATTTGCTTAGTCTCTTTGCCCTAAATTAAACAATCAAATCTAATTTAATTATTTATTTCAAATGTAATTTATTTCGTAATCGGTAATACCGATTGGGATATCGAAGTACCGATTGGGATACCGAAATATTTAGGGATTGGGATACCGAAATTATTTAGAGATTGGAATTGGGATTGACTTTCGGGTATAATTTGATACTAGCGTGGGCCCCGGCCATTTGGCCGAAGGAAGGTGAGGTATGAAATTTGATAATGTAATGGGGTATATAGCTTATTGTTGTATATATTTTTTTTTTGGGAAACACGTGATCAAAATAGTGAATTTTAGTAGGAAAGAGATATGAATGTTGTAACGAATCAAAAATCAGTCTTATGAACCAAAATCAAGTACTTGTTACCTTGTGAAACAATATTGTTTCTGGTAATATGATGAGGTTGAGTAAGTTTTATAGAAACCGAATTCCAGAAAATCGAATAAAAAATCGCATATCCGCCGGTTTTCGGGAAATGAGCATCTCACAATCGTTGCTAGCTTTTACTCGGCCCGTTGGCCGATTAATTTGCTTTATAAAACTTTCATCTTGTCATCATTGTGCTTTCTGGTTTTTTGCCAAGCCATGATAAAATCTAAAGAAATCAAGAATGAACAACACGATTTGGGATAGGAACCACCGTTCCTGTATCCCTAGAAAATTGTGGTAAACACGGACTCACCTGCCAAACTGGTTTGGATTGAGATTTTTATTGGGTATCATGGAACCATGTGATTATAAATTAGACTTGATCAAAACGGGCTAAGACTTGAAATTCAGCCTGTTTGCCCGACCCGTGCCAAACTCTAGTTATTCTTTGCTTTTAAACTTTCTATTTGAAAATAAAAAATAATGAAAGAAAAGAGATGACTGCAATTCGCCATTTGATTATGATCTTCTCTTTTCTTTAAAGTGGTCATGGTTCGAATCCTAGTAAGTGTCTTTTTAATGAATAAAAAAAAAGTATTTGTGAAGACCAAAATGTCCTTCCTATTTTCACTCTGGATGCAGGAAATTTGAAATGGGGCTTCAAGTTTTCTCATTTGACTTTTATTTATTGTGTAGATTCAATATTTCAGTATTTAGTACTAGCTTTGACCCGTCTCGTTGGCCGAATTAGTTTTAGTAATTGATTCGTGGAACGGGAGAGAGTGGTCGACTGTCTATTTTCAAACATTATCTTTAAAATATAATGTAAGAAATTGAAGGCCTCATTTCTCTCCACAGAGCCCAGTTTGATTGACGGTTGAATTTCTTAGTTGAGCTCATTGATGTACATGACGAAGATGATTTAATTTCGCAAAAAGTCTACTAATTTTTTTATAGTCTGTATGTATTAGGCTTATCCTGATTTATTAAAATTTGGATGCCGAAAGAAAATTATTTTTGTTTGGCTCCTGAAGAGTAACAAACATAATTCATGATATAGTTGGAGACAGGAGTTCACCTCCTGGCTATTTACACGTAAAAGAGGCGTTCAATCCAAATTTTACTGGGAAAAAATCATACTTAAACATTTGAAATCATCAATAGTAGCCCAGCTCATGAATAAAACAATGTTTATGAGTTAATTGGACATTAGCATAGGGAAGATTAGCAATATTGTGTTGACGGACTTTGTACCTCATTTAAAAATTCACCAAAACAATTACTGAAACATAAATGAGTTATTGCTTCTAAATAATTATGTTCATTCTACTTTTCTGGCAAACCGTCAAACCAAACTTATAAATTAAACAGTTGTATAGATTTACAAACAAATGCGAATAACAATCACATTTTTCTAATCTAACTAATTGACAATTCAAAAATAACATTTTCTAAATGGGGAAAGAAAGTTCAATTCATCCACAGAAATAATTCTGTGGTACATTATATATGCATTAAGAGATTTAACCCCAATGCTAGATAGTGCAACATCTTGTAAACTACTAAAGGCATGATCATGAGTTCAAACATTGACACCTTCATGTTCTTGTTTTTCTTCTCTGTGTTGCTCCTTTCAGGCTAACGTTGAAATATATTAAAAGGAAGAGACATGATGAATGCCAATTCACAAAAGGATTGTATTGGATAACAAAATAACATCATGGAATGTCTATGATATGGAAAGGGATTTAACAAATTCGCACAATGTGCTATGGAATCAGTTCATAGAGTTAAGTTTTCTACAATTATTGACTAACCTTTTTCCCTAGCTCATTCACCATACTGACAAAGGGTAGTGTTTTTCAAACAGTGTAATGACGAATTTGACTGTTCAAGACCCTCTTCACAACATCAATTATCCTGCCTCTAGGAATGATCATGGTTTTCACTCGGTAGATCTTATCATCAATCGACTCTATTTAGTTCTACGCAACCATGATCTGGCAATAGAAATGTAACCAAATTTAGAGAAGAACAACGTTTTCCCTTTCTAATATCTAAGTATTGCATTTAAATTAGAATTCTAACCAACCAAAATGAAGAACGCATTCAGGTAAACTTCATGGTAAAGAGAAGCAGGAAACTAACAACATATCCATATTAGTTGGAAGGTGAGAAAACGTTATCAACTAACCAAGAAAGCACTTCTTTGTTGAAATCATCGTCATTTCTTCGCATGATGAGGAGATGGTCCCATGGTGGCTGGCCAACACTAATAGTGATAAGCAATTCTGGAGTTCAGTTTTCAATGTCTTATAACTGTTTACGGAGCAAAATCAAAGGGTACCAGTAAAACATCTTACATCCATCATCAAGGCAAAAACAATCAAGCTAAATTAGAAATCAACGTATTATGACCGAAGACTAACCAACCACTACAACAATGACATAACATCCATTTTCAGCCAGACAAAGAGGTTTCTAAAAGCTACTAAGCCAGATAATCACTTAGTAAAGGAAACTAAAAAACCTCGTGATTAAGCAAGGCACTTTGCGGACTGCAATGCATCTACACAACATACACAGCCATATCCCCACCAGGGTTACGTAGTGCAAAAGAGCCCCATATCGTTCATACATAGCTTATTCTTTGTGGAGAAGAACTTCCCCAGAAAAGGTTATTTATTCTATCTTCTTCTACCAACTATGATTTCAGTATAACCATGTATGAATAGAAAACCAATGAAATTTCATAAGGAAAAAAGAGTACCTGAGTTTTTTTAATTCTGAGCTCCTCATTCAACCCCAACATGTTAGACGGTCAATGGCTCGCCTACTCTGCCTTGACCTGATCCGTCCTATAGATCTTCTCTAACATATCTGATCCGTCCGTCAGTCTAACCGTGAGCACTCTTCTTTTCGTCAAACCCTAGTTGAATCCACCTCGGATTCAATGCTTCGCGTCTCCATTGGCCACAAATCAAGCCGATTAGAGCGAGACGGGGTCGAGGAATGGCGCTCGGTGATTCATTGGAGCTACTTCAGTCTCAGTTGGCCACCGCTACCGCTGCAACTACTATAGATACTACCTGGCTAGTGCAACATCCAAGCACTACGACCAAGGATACCCCCACTTTAGGCATTACACACACAGAGCATTACTACCCACCACCTATCTCCATATGCCTATTGTTTTGGTTCTTCCTTCTTACTTCTTATCATTCTTTAAGTCATTGTATGATGGCAAGCATAACAATTAATTCCATTACAAAGGCCAGGCCAGACGACACTGTGATTATAGAATCAGAACGATGAGACTACTCGCTAAAACTACCCTTAAGAATATGATAAAACTGTGTACCTTCATGATGTTGGATATAGATGCAAGTACAGAGAGTAAAGCACGTGAAACCAAATAGTAACCCATATTTCTACGCAGAAATACTAAAGGTAATCTACATAACAATGATAGTTGGATTTGGCGTAACACATTCAACACCGAGCATCCCCTTCTTTCCAACAATAAAATTGCCATGGAATGGCTACTCTAATCATTTCTAAATCACCCCAAAATCTGAAACTCTCCACTATCAATAATACACAGAAATATAAAGTGTAAATTGTACAACACTCGAAAACTATATCGCACTCCATCCTACGAACAGGGTGAAATTGAGGAACTAAACCAAAAATCACAGCTCCGAATTAGCAAAACAAAGGGAGAGAAAAGACGTACCAGTTGAGGCCGAGCACCTCCTCAGCTTGATACCGAGTAACCATCTCGAATAAGGTACTGACGTAAATGATAAATACTATAAATGATAGGGTGGTCAGGCTCAAGAGCATTTGTGACCACGAACCCACAAGGCGCGGTTTGAAGCAAGCTCTCGATGGGTAAAGGGATTGGACCAACGCCATCGTTGAGGTCGAAGCTACCTTCCTCCTCGTCGCCGCTCAGATTCGAATTGTTGTTGTCCCACTCCATCAATATCTTCAAAACCCAGTTACCTCTGTCCGCTATCTATTACCTGTAACCGATATGCCTGGCCAGAATCCATAAGTGCTCCAAACAGATAACCACGCAGCTTCATAATCGACGTGTAATGAGTAATCACCAATTCTTGCAATGACTCCAATTTATCGAGCCCCATCACCCATTGAACTGATAACATCTCATGATCCGTAGAATCGATTAATCCCCAAATTCACCAAGCCCTTAGACTTCAGAGAGGAGTGGGCAATCAATAATCTCAAGCTTCCGTAACCTAGCCAAATTTGACAGGCTGGGTAGTTTTCTCAGTATACCACAACCACTCACCCTCAAATCCTTCAGAAGGTCTAGATGTTTGAGGCTATTGAGTTTAATTAGATTCAAAGCGCTCGATAAGTGGAAGGCAACAATTCTTTTCCCAATTAATTAGAAAGCAAGTTGAAAGAAAGGAGAAAATCAAACACTATATAAGAAAATCTCGATTGTCCTAGTAGGGACCTTTGTTTGCTCATTTTGCAGGTGAAGATTCAATTGCACAATAGTCGATCGGTGGCGGCTGTCTTGTCCACTAGATGGCCTTTTGATGAGATTTGATGGAGCACTTGGAAATGACGCCCCTGATGTTGAAGGAACCCCTTGAACACTATTAATATTTAGTTTGATGGTGCGGTCAAGCATAGTCACAAAGGTAGTATTGGCTTTGTGGGTTTCTAATTGTCAGGTAATATTCTCTTTGCTTTCGGAAAGTGTTATAAAGGATTACAAGATCCATTTGCCTGACACATTCCTTTGTCTCTGTCAAATTTCATGGGGATTCACAACAATTGATACGGCGGGATGGTGGGAGGCGACTTGGCGCATGATCGGGGTGGAGCTCTACTAGAGGATACTCGGAGCTTAGCTTCTCACTTCAGTTAGATTTATTTCTGCTTTGTTTCTCGTCGACTAAATAGGGCTGCCCATCATGTGGCACAAAAGGCCCTCTCATCGGGAGTTCGACTATTGGTCGACTCCGCATTTTTCTTTCTTCCTCCTTGAACACTGACTTTGCGGGGGGGGGGGGGGGGGGGGGGGATCTCGATAGCAAGAATTAACCATCCAATCTGAATTGCAGACCTTGACAGAGCTTTCATTTTCAGAAACAAATCACCAGAACTCATATATTGTGTTTAAGTGAGAACCTGAATGCATATGACATGATAATCCCACAACACAACTCCATTTGCTTGTGTGCTCGCCTTCATATTCCAAAGCATGATCTACAATGAAATACAAAGACTTGAAAGTTGCAGCAAAATGGTCATCCAGTAAATTCTATTGGATTTACGATGATGAAGAGAGAAGAGAAAGATGGGAGCTCCTAATGCAGCCTTGAGATGGATCCATAAAAAAAGCATCAGAACTATATATCATTCTTAGGAGGGTTTCGATTCAGGGCTTCAACTTTACCTTCTCTGAACCATCTTCGTAGATTTCTCCATCAAGAGAGGAACTAAGAAGATGCTTTATCATGGCTTTGACTTGAGCTACAACAGGTACCTAAAGCTGATATAAGTAGCTCGACCAATCCCTAGAACCAATATGATTAAGCAATGGACAGTAAAGCTCAACTCAAACATAAACTTAAAATAACTTAAGAAATTTACATTACCAGGGTAATTTGTTCTCGAGTTAGCAAAATCCTACAAGAACTCCAAAGCCTTAACGGGACCCCCACAATTTCTTGGTTCTAGCCTGTATAACTCTCTGCAGCAAACACCACCTAAAGAAAAAATCTCAAATAAGTGCAGTCAACGCATGTAATGGCAATACAGAGGAATGTGTAGGGTTAAGGAGTTGTAACGAAAGGAGGATCTTTGATCCAGGGGAAGCCGAGAAGAGAGAAGCGATTTGCTGCTGCTAGCTACCCGTCGAATAACGGAAATGAAGAATTGTCAATTGGCTGAAATTGATTTGAATAGGGAGATGAAGGGAAGCCGATTCGTGTAGAGGAATCCACCAAATGGAAGAGTCCTGGATACAGCAGTGGAATCGATTAGTGAGGATTGGGGGAAGCGCCGCCTGGCCCCCTGATCGAGGAACCTTAGAGTAGGTAAATATCAAGCAGTAGATGGGCATTGCATTCTCAATATGGAGAATATAGCAGCAGCTTAAATGAAGACAACTCCGTCGGAAAACAGGTGCGCCTCTTCGTCTCCCTTCTCCCTTCACCGTCCTCTCCTGCTTTCCCCGCTACTGTCGAAATCAATTTCAGCCAGGACTAACCTGTTAAACGCCAGGTTTGGAGACCCCTTTGACAGATGGAGAAATTAGTTTTGCACTGCTTGGATCGAGAGTACCAGAGAAGGAAGTAGGAAAGGGTTTTAGACGGTGGTGAAAGGCTGGATGGCAACATACAGAACAACATGCGGAGAAAATAGGGCAACCGCCGCTGTAGCGGCCAGAGTAGAAACCAGTGTAGCGGTTCTTGTTTGGGAGTGGAGGAGGTTGGTGGTGTAGAACTGTGTTGGATGCAGATTCGGCGGAGAGTGAGGTTATGTCTGATACGGGAAGGAAACAGAAAGAGAGAGAAAGAGAGGGATGTAGGTTTCAGTGTACGTGTTAGAATATGACTTGAATTTGATTGGGTTTGTTTTGTGTTTTAGGCCTATTCTGTTTGGGTTTGGGTTTGGCCTTTTTTCCTTGTATGTTTGGGAAAAGGTATTTGGTTTTCTGTTTGGGATTAGGAGAAGAGTTATATAAATACTCTTCACACCCTAGTCTGTAGTAAGGTCAGTCAGGTTAGTTTGTTTGGTTTGTCCGTTTGGAATTTGGTTTGTAACCTGTACTCTCCTCAAATCAGTGAAATTTGTCCCCCTGTCCGTGGATTAGCTAGCACACATTGTGTTAGTGAACCACGTTAAATTTGTGTTCGTTCGTGCTGGTTTGGATTATCGATTGCACGCTTTCCGTTCTGACAAGTGGTATCAGAGCCTTTGGTTGAGGTTTTGGGAATTTGGCGCTGGACTGAAGTTTTGCTTTGTGGAGGTAGCTTTCAATTCTTCAGCTTGGTTTGGTGGAGGAATCGCTTTGAAGTTGACTTTGGGTAGTTGTGTTTTGGTCTCGCTTTTTTGGTGAGAAGTTTGGTTGGAGTTTGTTTGATAGTAAGAATGACTGCTATCTGTATGAAGATTGAGAAGTTTACCGGAAGAAACAGTTTCAGTTTGTGGCAGATCAAGATGCAAGCACTGTTGAAACAACAGGGTTTGTGGGCTCCGTTGTCTGGAAAATTGAAGAAGGAAAGCATAGATGAAGAAGAGTGGATTACTTTGGAGGAGAAATCTCACTCTACAATCTTTCTTTGTTTGTCTGATGACATCATCACTGAGGTTGCTACTGAGAAGACTGCTACGGGCTTGTGGTTGAAGCTTGAAAGTCTATACATGACAAAGTCTTTAACTAACAAGTTCCATATGAAGCAACGTTTGTTCAGTTTGCGTATGGAGGAAGGTACGCCTCTCAGGAATCATCTAGATCAACTCAATACTATCTTGTTAGATCTGCGAAATATTGATGTTAAAATAGATGATGAGGATGCTGCCTTAATTCTGTTAGTATCTTTGCTACGGTCGTATGAGAATTTTGTGGATTCTTTTATTGCTGGGAAAGATAGTTTGTCTTTGGAAGATGTCAGATCTGCTCTACATACTAGGGAGGTTCGACATAAGGCGTCTGGTTCAGGTTCGGAAAATCAGGCATCTGGGTTGGCTGCTACGAGTAGTAGGATACAATAATCTGGTAATAGGAAGGCGAATACAAATTTGAATTCTGCTGGGTTGAAGGATGATATCTGTCATTACTGCAAGGAGAAAGGACATTGGAAATTTGATTGTCCTAAACTGAAGAAATATCAGGAGAAGAAGGAATCATCTGCTGCTGTGGCGGAAGAAACTAACTCTGATTCTGAAGATGGTTTAGCCTTAGCAGTGAATGAACATGTACATCATCAGGATGTGTGGTATTTAGATACTGCAGCTGATTATCATATGTGTCCAAGCAGGGAGTGTTTTTCAACTTATGAGCAGATAGATGGAGGACATGTTTCTATGGCCAATGGTGCTATCTGTAAGATTGTTGGAAGAGGCTCCGTCTAGATGAGGACACATGATGGTTCTGTTCGCACCTTGAACAATGTTAGACATATTCCAGAGATGACTAAGAATCTGATATCTTTGAGTCTACTCGACAGCAAGGTTTCAACTTCAAAGGTGAAGGTGGAGTGTTGTCTGTCTACAAGGGTTCTAAGGTGATTTTGAAAGGTGTCAAGGTTGGTGCCTTGTATAGTCTACAAGGTTCTGTTTTGACATGTTCTGTTGGTGATAAGTGCAACAAGCTGGTTCTGAATGGCAAGTCTCAATATGGATTGGACTTGCCGAATGGTTTGAGTTGTTGACCGCCCTTAGGGGCATTTGGAGGAGTTTGGTACATCTGGCAACTTTGGTTGCATCTGGTACATCTGGTATTTGAGAGAGAATTCAAGTCAAGGTGGAGATTGTTAGAATATGACTTGAATTTGATTGGGTTTGTTTTGTGTTTTAGGCCTATTCTGTTTGGGTTTGGGTTTGGCCTTTTTTCCTTGTATGTTTGGGAAAAGGTATTTGGTTTTCTGTTTGGGATTAGGAGAGGAGTTATATAAATACTCTTCATCTCCCTAGTCTGTAGTAAGGTCAGTCAGGTTAGTTTGTATGGTTTGTCCGTTTGGAATTTGGTTTGTAACCTGTACTCTCCTCAAATCAGTGAAATTTGTCCCCCCCTGCCCGTGGATTAGCTAGCACACATTGTGTTAGTGAACCACGTTAAATTTTTGTTCGTTCGTGCTGGTTTGGTTTATCGATTGCACGCTTCCGTTCTGACAGTAAGGGTGAAGATAGAAAGGCCGCCTAAATGGGCAGCCACGTCAGCCTCCTAAAATCTGGCAGAAAAATTTGAATGGGGTGTGCAGTTTTATTTTTCAG